CCGAGGTTTTGAGGCTTGTGGCACCGGGCCGACCTTGTATGTACGGATAGGCAGGACAGCTTGAGAGGTGGTGGTGGTACTCTACCGCATTTGTATTGTAGTACTGTACTTACACATACGGTTACAGCGAACTGTACAGCGGAATTTTTATAGTGCACGATACTTGTCTACGATACTCTGGCTGGTCTCCTCTGCACCGAGAAGCCACGAGCGAGCCGGCAATGGTGGTCGTTCGATAGCCCGTGTCACTCCTGCCTGGAAGGGTATATATATGCGTGTGTACGTGTGTGTGGTGGTGGTGGTAGGTACAGTAATCTAGTGCCACTAACAAAAAGCAGGAAGGTTGATAGACCAGGGACGGCGCAAATCGGAATATCGCCATGAGTGTGAGTGATGCGACTAGTTGTTTCGCCCGCTGCCACAAGAAGTGACCGGCCTGAAGAGCCGAAGTTCAAATAAATCGATCTCTCAATCGATCAATTCAACCGATCCAATGTCGAAATCGCCATCTCTCCCACAACAGGAGATTGCGCGGGGGACAGGGAGAAGGAATGAAAGAGATAAGTGCGTAGTTTCATGCTGAGACGGGCCTTCGTTGCTGCTGTTTATCTGGGTAGAACTGGTAGTAGTGGTGGATGACGGAACATTCTATAAGTGTTCCCTCCCTTCCCTCTCTTGCCCCTCCCCAAAGCAGACCAGCAGTTTATTTAGATTATCCAGAGTCTCCCATGCTACAACCTCGACGATGGCTGGTGAGAGGCACGAAGGGTTCCGGCTTGGAAAAAGCCGTACGGTACGGAGTAGTACAGAAATGTACAGTACAGACAGTGCCTTCATATTTTTTCTCTACATACAGACAGGATATCCACACACACCTCGGCTGCTGCGGTTTCTCCGCCTGACACTGCAGGGCTTCGAAAGGAAGTGGAAGCAGGCGGACTTGAGACATACGTGCGTCCATCTTACATATACATACGGCATCCCCTTTGTTGAGAAGCCGCGTAGAGGATGTAAGTAATCCCACAGAGGCCAAAAAAAAAACATATGCATCATCCTTCAACGAACCGTTCCTCCCACCCATCACCGCCCATCATCACCAACCCCTCCCCTCCCCTCCCATCCCGCCTCAAGCGCAACCACTCACTCCCCCATCCCAGCCCCCACTGCCACGAGTCCAATCCATCCCCCCCGCCGCGGCTCGCACGCCCAAGTTTCCCGAAACAAGGTACGCCCATGCGAGCTAATATATCAAAACGGATAAGTGCACACGAGCGAAGCGGGAAGCAACAACCGCATCGCATGGCATGGACGCGGGGAACCGAGAGGGTTGCCGAGGGGCGAGGAGTCTTGGTGGTTGTTTTTACTGCTTTTGGTATGTATGTATACTGGTTGGTGGTGGTGGTGGAGGTACGGATGATGGAGGGGGACGGGGAACAACGGAGGGGGAGGAGTATTGGTATCTCAGTTCGTTCGAGAGGAGTGCGGGTGTTGTACAGTGTAGATGTGTGTGTGTGTGTGGTACCACACCACCGCTCCTCCTACTTCCATCCCACGTCGTATCCCCCCAATCCATCCATCCTGTCATGCACTACACCACCACCACTACGTCCCTGAAAATGCACGATGACCAGTCCCACGCATTGCATCGCATCACAAAACCATCGCAACGAGACATCCCCATCTCACACACCACACTCCGTAGCCCAGCCAAACCACCACGCCCACCCCCCATACTTCCCCACTCGATCGCCAGCCGGGAAGCCGCAGCCACCGCCGGTCCGATTCAGGGCGTGTGGACGGCGATCAATGGGGAAGTCTCGTGATCGCCGGGGGGGTGGAGGGTTGTTTGGGTAATTTGGCGGGTGTGTCTGGGGTTGGGTGCCGGCGCGGGGAGATATAGAGTAAAGTATATTAAGTTACTTGACGGCGCCGTCATCGTCGTTATTGTTCAACTGCCGGAATCCCTCCTCGGGGTGAGAAAGGGTGCTGACCTGACTTGTGCTTATTACTACACGGATTTTGTAGTATTTTCGTAACGGTCGGTCCGTTCACTAACTACCCTTGCTGACTGCAGAAGGGCGGGCAGCATGGCCGGGCGGCGGCGGCGCGGTGCGCTGCGCTGGGACGGGGGGTCCAGATCAGATCGGATCGGGCAGGGCGCGATGGTTAGGGATGTGGCTCTGTATGGCTGTGGTTGAGTTTGACTTTTTGCATAAGATTAGTTGGTGGTGGGGAGGTAAGCTGTGGCTGTGCGTGCTCCTGGGGGTTTTCAGCTGGGTTTCAGCTGAGGTACTTTCGTATTGCTTGGGGGCTACTCACAATGCTTGGTGGACCGTGAGGAGGCGAGGTTGGTTCGATTTGGTGGTATTTTCTCATGCTGACTTGGATGGGAGATCGGGGGGTAAGCGGTGGTGATGGCTTACTGTGCTGGATTCAGGGGGGGGACCAGATGGTCGGGTTTTGCTGATGGTGAGGGGGGGATTGCCTGAGGCAGGGTGAGGAGGGGGAGTGGGATAGGGGTTGGATTCTGGTCTAGTATGTTTTTATGAATTGAGCATCTTGATGATGTTGATGTTGAGTTATTGTTTCTTTAGTGTCTGTTCCTGCCGTTTCCTTCCTTTGCTTTCTCTTTCCTCAACTTGACTTCACTTTTTGCTATTTTCCGCACCTGTCTCCGTTCGTTTACAATTGTCTTTCTGTCCGCCTGAGTTGTCATTGTTCACCTCACATCTCTTTTACTCTCGCATAATCTCCGGTTTCACTTATTGCTTCTCTATTTTGATCGATATATTCTCTCTCTTTGTTACCCATATATCTGCACGTCTAACGTCCCATTATGTCTCAGGGGGGCATTTCGACCTTTGTTTCCCATATCCAGAAGCCTCGAGCTCAGTCCATATCAGTACCCACAGTTGGTATTATCACTCGTGCTGTGTAAAGGTCCTCAGGAGGGCCATAACGAATTGCCCTATCAAAGTTCTGGATTCTCAGTATAACTGTACAATTTCTACCATTTTGCTCACTGGAACACACAAATACCAAAAACACTATCTACCATGACCTTCCTTTTCCTCGGGGATTGTTCTATGATGGCAACAGTAAGTCTATTTCCCGCCATCAACTTCTCTATTCAGAATGAGGATGTTGGAAGCCTGTTCATCTGCTGGCTATAAAAGCCACCAGCTCCTTCCTGATAAAAGTTTTTGAAGCATCAACTGCATCATTCGCAGTCTCTCTCCTACACCTCATCCTCCCTGCGCTGGTCGCTTTTCAGATATATTCGATTCTTCAGTCTTTCTCTTTTGCGCTGGTCGCATTTCAGAGATATTCAATCCTTCACTACCGTCCACTGCTGTCCTTCCGTGCTTGTGCTGGTCGCACTTTAGACAGGTCCAGATCTTCACTGCTGTCTTCTTTCCTCCTTGCGCTGGTCGCACTGCACAGACAAATTCGATTCCTCACTGCAGTCTCTCCTTCTTGTGCCGGTCACATTTCAGACAGATCCAATCCTTCGCTGCTATTTGCTTTCCTCCTTGTGCTGGTCACATTTCAGACAAATCCGGTGCTTCACTGCCTCCTTTCACTCTTGCGCTGGTCGCATTTCAGACTGATCCGACCTTGCACTGCTCTCTCTCCTTCTTGCGCTGGCCCCATTTTGGACCTGAGACGGAGATTTTCGATCCAACAGCATGTCATCTCATAAACTGCACAATGGCCAGCCACTATCCTCACATGGCTATCCCCGCCCCTACGATGACGCTTTCCATGGAAAACCGTTCTTCATGCATACTCCCAAGCGCGGATTATACTCGTATAAACCTGGACAGGTTTCATCATCTCTTGTAAGATATACAGAGGAGTTGCGCAACCCAAACCCAAAGTTAAAAAGGACGCAGAGACAGAACATACTACAGAAGCGAGGACTAAAACGATGGGAAAGCCTGGAGTCAGGAGAGCACGAGCATCTGGGGATGGAAGAACTTCTGGTCCTCTACGCTAAATGCTTTAACGACCTTTTCTTTGGGGGAGTTCTGAGAGGCTTCTGCAAAATCAGATTCGTAGACTCTACAGCCATGGGTTCTAAGTGTACTGGGCTATGCCGCTCGGGCCGCTCATTCGAGCACAGGTTTGAAATTGATATCATGATTTCAAACAGACGACAGCACAGTTCTTTTCAGGCACAGGACCAACCATCAAAACTGAGATACTATCTCAGCGTACTGCTTCACGAAATGGTCCACGCGGTATTGGATCTGTACTGCTGCTATACATGCCGTCCGTGTATTACCAGGAGCAAAGATGAGGTTGGGATATCAGGACACAGTACATCCTGGCAAAAGTTAGCAGTCTCGATTGAGAATGTCCTCAACGAGTGCCTTAATTCAAAAGGCGCTAAGCCCTTTGATTTAAATCGGTCATACTCCTTTTTCCTGGAATTTACCGGTACTGAGGACTATAGTTGCAACAGGACCCTCCAAAAGACTCTAACAAAACGCAAATTGCTAAGCTTGAACCTGACTCCACGGACGACTCGGAAAATAAGTGGAAAGATTCAGGCCCGGGATAGGGAACGCGTTGCCGCCCGGCGTAAAGCTGCAGAGGATCTGAAGAAGGGACTGGTGGTCCCCAAAAGGGGCGTTCAGGGAGGAAGGGTGTCCAAATCAGACAGGTCCAATTCACGCCATTGATCGGGGAAACACAGGGAGGGAGGAAAGCTGACGATCCGGGAAGACAGAGTCATCTATAACGATATATAACTATTATATCTGTAATGTCTAGACATGATACAATATTCATTCGGACACTTTTCCAGTGCGAGACTTGCTTGTGATGTATTCCTGAATGCTGCCAATGATTGAACGAACGGCGATATCTGACACCCAGAACGCTCCTCAGGGCGAGTATGATGCAAGGCCCAGCTGCCACTAAGCTCTTCTATTTAACATATATAATTTCACTCATAACAAAGGTCACTGGGAAGCATAATCTAAAACACATCCATCGATTTGATGTAAGGTATAGCACGAAAAACTCCATTGAGGTATACTGCTCATATTACACGACAAGCAAAAAAAAGCAAGTCCGCCCCCACAAGGCCTACATTAGCCACACCACACAACAACAGATCCCCTGGCCGCGAGCAAGTAGCCAATGCCACACTACTCCCATCCCCCATGAAACTCCTTCGAGGCACATAGCCCATATAGTTCTGGCCCAACAAGGCACCAGTTTGGAAAGAGCAATCCCATACGCCGTCGCTTTGCTGAACTCCTCGTAAATCATCAGAATAAAAACACAAGCCCCCTTCCTCTACTTCCTCCCACCACCCTTCGTCTCCCCTTGGTATCCCTCCCCTGATTTTGTTGTTGACAAGTAAAGAAAAGAAAATGACAGACTCGGAAGATGTGACGCTCAGAGGCGCTTGCCGGGGACAAAAATGAAAAGCACGCTAAGTGCAACGTCGATAAAGAGTGTGACGCCCAAGACCATGATAGATCGCTTATTAATAAGCTTGCGAATGAACGGCTCCCGGATCTTCGAGTAGCTCATCCACGCGTACTCGCTGAACCCCGTGAGACCCATAATCGGATCCAGCGAGTACTGGTGCGAGGCGAGGGCGTACACGCCGATCGTGAAAGGGAGGATCAGCCAGCAGCGCGTCAGGCGCGACTTGTCGAGGAAGATTAAGATGAAGCCTGCCCAGAAGCCAGCGAAGAGGGCGAGAAGACCGATGATGAGACGGGTCATGGTGGAGGTTGGGACGAGGTTGCCCAGGGCCTTCATGCGCAGGAAGCCGGGGAAGGCGTCACGCTCCATGGCTTGGAAGACGTAGTCCTTGGCGGAGTCGAAGACTTCGGGGTCGTCGCGGCCGAGCTCCTCGATCGAGACGGTGATGTCGTTTGTGATGCTGTGAGGGAGGATGATCTCACGCTCGGCGCTGGGGAGGAGGTATGTGTAGAGGATCTTCTCGGCCGATTGGCGGATGTCTGAGCGGGCAACTGCGTGTGCTGGGGAGTTGGAGTCGGAGTTTGGGTCGTTGGGGCTGCTCATGAAGCTTGGGCGGGGACGCTCGTTGGAGGTTGTGTTGCGGCCTGCACTGGCTGAGACAGCTGATGACAAGCTACCCTTTGGGGAGTGGCCGTTGCGTCCTTGGGCGGCCTCTTCACGGAGGAATGCCGACATCTGAGCATCCTGATCCTTTTCCTTTTCGGTTGAGAAATATGAGGGTCCAGCCACAGGGTGGTTCATGTCTCCAAGGCCTTCCAGGATTGCCGAAGAGCGCTTTGAACCCCCCTTCTCAAGTTCCGGGGTCCCGACAAGAATCGAGCGACGTAGTTTCCGGACATAATGGCGGCAGAGCGACATGTGCTGTGCCACATCGAGCCTGAACAGAGTTAGACAACTTTGAACGGGAGGAACTGGCCATTGGGCTAAAGAACATACCAGAAATCCAGATAGTCGACAGATCTTTGTTGATCTCGCATGTATATGTAGAAAGAAAAGAGATCCACAGGTGGTAGAGTCCTCCGGCTAAGAACCTCAAACAGAGTAGGAAGGCGGTTCCTGTTCATGTCTGGCTCCGGCGATGGAGTGGCATTGACACCGACACCTCCTCCAGCTGGGACTGGGCTTCCCAATCTATTGTCACCCATAGTATTGGTTTGTAGGTTGAGGTTGATGTGGTGTTGGATATCCTCAGTAAGGTGTGTCGTATACGAGGGGTGCGTTGTCCACGATGCTGGTATAGAGAACGGTCGCAAAGCGCAGATTGAAGGTATAGAGTCGCAAGACCGACTCAGTAAAGAACGAGAGACACAGCTGGATGATCTATCAGATCTATCACAGCATGTCGGGGTGAGGAGTCTTGAGTTGTGATTGAAGAAACGCAGAACGAGCGCGTTGCTAGGTCGTCCTGGTCAATTTCATGAAACTTGCACTAAGGGGGCTGGATCGGGGACCTTAAATTACGATCGCCTGAGGCATCAAGACCCTGACGACACAGACTCCCAAAGCCGCACCCACAAAAACGGCGCCAGACCATAAAAATTCGCTAAAGTCTTGGCACGCACATTCACAACTTTCCAAACTTTCAACCTCTCGTGCCAGTATCACGACTCCTCAATCGACAAATCGCGACCACCTTCAGTAAGACTTTCTGTCCCAGAGAATCGTGCGCATCAAGCGCATTTTGATCTATCAATACTGATACTTTATAGCCATGTCGACGACCACCAAGAAGACGGGCAAGACCCAGCGCTCTGCCATCGCCGACGTTGTCGCGCGCGAGTACACCATCCACCTTCACAAGAGAGTATGTTCGATCTATAACACACCGATCTGATGGGAAGGGTGATGGAATAGAGCAGAAATGCTAATTATTCTTTTCACAGCTCCATGGTGTCTCGTTCAAGAAGCGTGCACCAAAGGCCATCAAGGAGATCAAGGCTTTCGCAACCAAGTCCATGGTACGATATCCCCACACCACATGAACGGGCAGAGACCTGGGATAAGGGAATGGGTTACTGACAAGTTTTACGCATGCAGGGCACCACCGATGTCCGTCTTGACCCTCAATTAAACAAGAAGGTCTGGGAGGCTGGTATCAAGGGATGCCCATACAGACTCCGCGTCCGCATCTCGCGCAAGGTTAGTTTTCAAGCTTCAGCACTACAACACAGCAGTAATTAATGTCTATTTAGCGTAACGATGAGGAAGGAGCTACCGAGCGCTTGTACAGCTACGTTCAGGCCGTCAACGTCAAGAGCGCCAAGGGTCTTCAGACCGCTCTTGTTGAGGATGCTTAGATGTATGTTCGTGGGAGGGCGCGGGACCTGGAGTTAGCATTATGCTACGGCAGCAAATGACATGTGCTTCTTTTCCCTCGATTTTTACTTGCATTGTGATGCTCCATGGAAGTTTTATATCACCACTTATATGTCCTCCGCCATCAAGCCGAGTTGCGTGAGAAATACCGCCTGTCGTCGAACCTGCCAAAGCTGGAGACTGGATATGGCATGTCCTGTGCATGAACCACCAAAGCGGGAGACTGCATATTACACGTCTTTTGCACGAACTTCACTGTCTTATATATGTCTACGCCTACGACGAGGGGATTTCTCAGTATGCTCCAGTAAACTTAAAGATCTCTCCTGGGAATCTCTTGTGCACAAACTTCACTGCCTTCTACCTCTACGATAAGGGGATTTCTTAATATGCCCTAGTAAACTTAAATCTCTCCTGGGAATCATCGTTTCATTATCCGTAGCCCACCATCCGCATATCTATGCCCCAAGCCCAACCCAGTACTCCACCTCTCCCTGCGTTTCCAAATGCGTCGCTATGAGAAGGGTATTATGGCCCAAGCGGTGGCCAATCAGTGATAATGCATCTAACTTCCACCAGCAATGCCAGTGCTGGTCTCCGAGGCGCAAAAATTATACAAGCCCCTTTATTAAAGCTATGTCCTCCGGCCCCTCATCTACTCGTCATCAATATCCACGTGGCGGGCAGTGACCTTTTTCTGAAACTCTGCTGGGTCTTTGTCCCATAGCTCGGCAGCTTCACCGTTTAATGGCGATGCACTGCACTAAATTAGTATCCTTTGGCTGATGAGCGCGGTGAAAGACATACTTGTTTGGCTCGCCAAGCAAACTCTGGAGACTCAGGAGTACAGTCTGGATGTTGTATGCCGCCGTCCACTTATCCTTGAGGATATCGAGACAGATCCTGCCCGAGAAGTCGACATTTGGGTGGTAGATGGGCGTCTTGAAGAGAACTGTGGGAGGGGCGTATGGGTAGTTGGATGGGAAGGCAAACGACAGCTTGAGGCTCAGGTTGGCGTATGGCGTGTCGTCTGGGCCCTCAATCGTTGCAGTCCAGGATAGCAGGTCTCCATCAGCGGAGGGGAATGCTGAGATCCCTGGGGCCGAGGATGTCATGAGCTGCATGAGCTCTGTTTGAAGTCTAAAATTGTTAGTAGCGCAACTTGGTCTCTGGAATGGAGTAAATAAACCTCTTCGTCGTGCTTACGGCGTCTGGTCCACGCCTTGCCGCAGCCGGCTTTCCACTCGGCACTGAGCCTGGTGCTGTGTTTTGGGAATCCATCTCGAAATTCATGGTATAGGAAGCAATCAAGGAAGGCAGCGTCGAAGCTTAAATGGCGTCGGTACAATGAACAAAGAACGTCAGTTATGAAATCAGAATTGCCAGAAGCAGCTTCAAGCAACCAAAAGTGCAATTGTTAAAAAGGAATGGCGATTATGAAGAGCAAGAGTGAGTAATATATCGTTAGGAATCGTGCGTTTTAACACTTCGCCGCCATATGTTTACACTGGAACCCGTTGCCCTCCAGCAACGGGTCCAACCCGCGCTAGCGCGAGAGTTTACTGGGCCTAATGCACGTAATAAGGCTGCATCACCTGCTTTCGCGAACCGTTGACGCGATCTTCGTCCCGCATGAAACGTGCACGCGACAATAACAAAGATTATTGGGCGTGAGGCGTTTTGGTAAGTTTGATACAATTCCGAGTTGGATACAATCTTTGGATACAATCTTCGGATTTCTCATACAGGCGCCATCAGTATGGTAAGCTGCGCACCGTATATATTTCTCTCCATGGGCAACTTGAGGATGTTCAAGGACGATGGCTGATAACAATATCCCCTTCCAGTCCCAACTCGATCCGCTGCCAGCAGATCTGCCCTTTCGCATTGTATCAAAAACAATCGGACGAGGGGCATATGCTTCGTATGTTCTGAACAATTGCACCCTTTGTTTTGCAAGACATGTCTAACAAGAGACACAGGATTAAAAAGGCTATCCCGCCAACGACCACCAACCCAGTCTTCGCCGTCAAGTTCATTCACAAGACCTACGCCGTCAAACATGGCCGGATATCAGCTAAGCAGATTGCGATGGAGGTGTCCCTTCACTCGCATGTCGGACAACACCCCAATATTATAGAGTGGTTTGCAACCGGCGAGGATTCGATATGGAGGTGGATCGCTATGGAATATGCCTCTGGAGGCGACCTATTCGACAAGATTGAGGCAGATGTTGGAGTCAGCGAAGATATTGCACACTTTTATTTTCTCCAGCTCATAAGTGGAATTGGCTACATGCACTCAAAGGGCGTCAGCCACCGCGATATCAAACCGGAGAACATCCTCCTCTCTGAGAATGGTGACTTGAAGATAGCGGATTTTGGCCTCGCAACCCTTTTCGAGTACCAGGGAAAGACGAAGCTAGCCACGACAATGTGTGGAAGCCCCCCATATATCGCCCCGGAAGTCATAAGTTGTGCGAGAACTACAGATCCGAGGACCCGTGCCTCCAAGGGCAGCGGCTATGCGGCGGATTTGGTGGATCTCTGGTCTTGCGGTGTTGTGCTTTTCGTTCTTCTCGTAGGCAACACACCCTGGGATGAACCGACTGCTTCATCTTGGGAATTCAATGAGTACGCCGCGAATAGTACTGCGAGCGCCGACAGTCTTTGGGAGAGGCTCCCTTCGTCCACTCTGTCTCTTTTACGCGGCATGATGAGCATCGACACCACCAAGCGCTTCTCTCTCGAAATGATTCGGAGGCATCCTTGGTATACGCGGAAGAACCCATTGCTTACTCCTGAAGGCAGGATGGCTGATCCTCTTGGCATGGCAGCTAAGATGTTGGAGAACCTCCATATTGACTTCAGCCAGCAACCAGCAGCCTCCCAAAGGCAGTCCCAGTATAACCACGACAAAATGGATGTCGACTCTTCAGAGGCGGTACGCAAGGTATCGTCCTCGCAACCGGATACACCGATAAGCGACCCCTTCTTCGAGTTGGAGCGCCCTGTTCGTGTTTCTGCAGTCGCCGCCAGCCAGCCAGTGTCCAACAATACTGTCCCAGGACATTACTTGCCGCCGAACTCCTCGCTCGCAGATGAGCCTTCGATGTCTCAATTTACTTCTGTGCCAACGGTATCGCTGTCATTGACACAGCACGCGCGTCGTTTCCAGGATATTGTTCCCGCATACTCGCTCACGCGGTTCTTCTCTCACGTTTCTCCCGCTTTACTGGCTGGCCTTCTTGGGGCGGCGCTTCATACACTCAATATCCCGACTCCATCGCCACCTGTTTGTGAAAACCAAGAGACAGTGTCATGGATAAAAGTGAAGACAACAGATGGAAGAGGCTGTAGCCTGAACGGAGACATTCTGGTAGAAAGATATGACGGTGGATCAGAGGTTGGGCAACTGCTAGAGGTCAGGTTTGTGAAGATCAAGGGTGATCCGCTGGAGTGGAGAAGGCTCTTCAAGAATGTCGTGATACTATGTAAAGATGGGGTTTATGTGCCTGGTGGCTAAGGGGCGAGCGAAATGAATTTTATTGATGGCATGGTTGGAGTTGGATAACGCGCTTGGACATTGGGCTTTGATAGATGTTAATTGTCATCTGGAACGGAGGCTCCAGAACAATAGAGTCTTCGGAATTTGGTTTCATTCACCATTTACCAGTGTTCCTGCGTTTCAGTGCATAGAATTTACTATAATGAAACAGAAGGGAATAACAGTGCGTAAGATATGTTTTGAGGGTATCAGTTCTGGTCAGTACTCAGTAGAGTAGAGTTCTGTTGAACCCTTGTTCCGAGTAAAAATCGAATGTCAAAATATACGCGAGGCTCATGACAAGGCTACCATCTTGTCACCTGGCTGGACCATCCGACCAAAGACATCCCTCTCTCGTATTTCCTGACACAAGATTCCACACGGTTCGAAGCAAAATGGATGCCCTACCAGATGAGATTATTGTTTACCTGTTTTCTTGTAAGTGAAGCCAGCTTGCCGTGTGTTTCGCAACTAACAAGGCCACAAAGTCCTCACACCACCCGAGATCACCACAACCCAGCTTGTGTGTCGCCGCTTCCTTAGAATCGGGCGTGATGACAATTTATGGCGCGACGAGTGCTTCGAAATTTCAAGATACTTGGTGAATCTTCGACGGAGAAATCGAGCAAAGCCGATACCAACCGTTTCCGCCGGCGAGCCTCGTTCTGGAGATGTGCTGGGAGCTGAAACGGAAGACCAACTTGGGCAACGCTCTGTGACATCAGTGGCTCGCCATGAGCAACATAACAGCAATCAAAGGGCAACCGAGAGAATACGCGTGATGGCTAACTGGGACCCCTCGTACCAAGCAGAGAAAGTAGACTGGTATACGGAGTTCATCCATCGGACGGCACCGATCTGCACCAAGTGGTTCCAAAAACCTTTGAAACAGGGCGGCGGTAGGACAGAATCGCCACTGGAGGTTCGCGGTATTGGGGCGTATTATCTTCCTGGGAGCGAAGATATGGGAATGGCCATTGCCCCGCTAGAAGACGGCAGTGTTTGCCTCTGGGATGTTAAAGGCAGCATTATAGGTCGAAGTGGGGAAGGATCCTTGAGTGGTGTTGAGCACAACCGTGCTTTGGGGCAAGGCAATGCTACCTGCGGAATTATAGATGGGATCAGCATTAACAGCGACATAAACAGGGCGTTCATTGCGGTTGAGAAAGGTGGGTGCCTCCGTATGAGAGGATTCGGACACGCCAAGTGTAGCTAACGAATCATAGATGTTATGGAGGTGGACTTACAGACACTCCGAACAGTAAGCCAGACACGCTATCCATCATCTATATCAGCCATGTCTGAAGCTCGAGGCTCAACGCCAATAACTATCGGAACAAATGACGACTTTCATCTGTACGATCATCGCATCCACAAAACAAGCCCTTTAGGAAATTCCGAGCTAGAGCGGCTTGAAGGAAGCCAGAATGATGCCCCAGCATTTCGTAGAGCGCCCAAGTTACAAGGGGATTACAGTATTCGACGATCATTCGCGAAGCCGGTGGCATTGTCGATTCTCCATATGCTCAACTACGGTGAGGATACGGCTAGTGACATTTTCGTTGCTGGTCGATTTACTAGTATCATGAACTATGACAGAAGGTTTCTTTCTAAACCTCGAACCGTCATACACTCAGGGGCGAGGCTTTCTTCCTTGGCGTATATTCCATACTCATTTTCAAAAGACGCAGCTGCCAGCATGCGGTATTCTGAGTTGTCTGTTGGCGAGGTGCGCTCAGTAAAATCAACTCCAGGAAACACCCTCATAGCATGTGGCGAATATGGGGGCAGAGGCTCATTGGACCTTTATGGGCTTTCAGAGTTGCCCAGTGACTCTACTACAGTCGGTACGGGGCGGACTCTACAATCTGCATTCAAGAACAGACTGACTTCATCAACCTCTATGATTTTATCAGTGATCCCGCATGGGTCTCGCCTCGTTTTTTCTGACGGGAATGGTAACCTGAAATGGGTCGAGCGGGATGGTCTCACCGAGGTGCGTCAGTGGAATATTTCCCACGAGATTCCGGATAATAGGCCCAGAGGGATATTTGGAACTGTGGACAACGAATATGAGAATTCAGTGGATATCGCCCGCAAGCTGTTGCCAACGAGGAAGCATGGGGCTCCGGCAGCTATTAACATGGATAACCTTATATTATGGAATGGGGAGAAGATTGGGCTGGTCCAGTTCTCAAACAAACAGCACAGCGGGGCTGTAGACTTTGAAGAGGTGGCGAAGTCTCTTGAAGAGCGCCATCATGAAGATTCTGAGAGAGCCTATAGAGAGTTGACCCGCAGGGCGCTGGAAGCCCAGGCTGACGAAGTGAGACTGATGAGAGGCCTCGGATTGTCCGGCCCCTAGTCTTACTCCATACTCTATTACCGACAGGATATAGTTTCCTGGGTGATACTGTATTGGCCAGTTGTTTCACGTTGCTGCCACCGCAGGCAGGATCTACAAATCAGCCTACAAAAGGCATGGTTAGCTGTACTATCTCATGGCAGCTGCTGGCTGGAGGAAGTTTGTGGCGCTTATAAACCCCTGTGGTAATAGGTCACGAACATTGCGTACATATGGTCTTGGTGTTGTGGCCTATGCATCTCAGCTGGTCACGCCGCCAACTTACTTGCCCTTCCAGCTTGCCGCTATCCTTTCAAGGCTCCCTATCAGAACACTGGTCTCTCAAACGCAGGCCACCTGTAACGTCCAAACTTGCAGTGGGCTGTACTTAAAGTCCTCAAGCAACGCCAGCAAGGTAAGACCAAATGAAGCGGTCCTAGTGATCCTATCGTGGGGGTGGGTTCGGCCTTTGCGAGCAAGCCAGGAGCCTTGGCAGCCAATCTCCAGTGGTCTATATAGCCATCGAAGACAGAATATCACCTTTCATGTACTTCTCGCGTACAAATATGCATCAGTAAGACTTTTGGGTGCCAAACACGGATGGTCTTGCAGGGAGTTCGCCATAGGGGGCGGTCACGGAAGGGGCGGTAAACGGGTTGACATTGAGCGGTGAGAATAAAGAACATCTCCACATTGTTATCGGATTTTCAATACATTATTGCTTCATTAAATTGTTAATTTCACGGGCAGCGATTAGAGTCGCTAGAGATCTCGCGCATTGTTGCCCAGGTATACAGAAGATTTATATTCCTAGCCAAAGCTTGGAATTGATGAATTGACACTCGCTCGGCACTCAACAATTGAGACTAACTTCGTCATCAATGCCGATCACCCTGAGAATTGCACAAATGTGTACCTTTTCAATAAGTGCACGACGGCGCCTCATCTATGCTTATTGGAGGTACTAAACAGCCTCGCGATCCAACATGTCTATTTTGGTGGCTTCGGGCTATTTACTGTTACCACACAGCTGTCTGTGCTGGTGGCCCACCTCGCTAGGGTCGACATCGACCGCCTCACTTTTATACCCTTTCAACAAAGGCAACCCGCCCGGACCCCTGCAGTGGTCCCAACTATATTACATGTCTACTCTTTCAACCAGAAAAAAAAAGAATATTTTGTCGTTCAGCGTGATGGATTTCAAAACAATTACAAGTAGGAAGCATGTATCGAAATGGCAGCTGTGCTGTTGATGCTGTGCCTCGAGATGGCTTCCAAAACTACCCCCGACCGACGGATTACCACGGTCGAGAACGCAGATACACTACACCGTACTACCGCCAATCCACACGTTTTGATTCCGTAACGACTGATAATCGGTCAAAACACAAAAACACCAAACGCCGCCTCCAAGCTGCTTATTCCATAGAGGGCAAACGCCGTCTCCAAGCCGCCGAGTCCATAGAGAGCAAACGCAGCCTCCATTATTCTGTTGAGGGCTTGGACGTTGCATGCCCTCGGCTTCAGAACCCCGCCTCATCGCTTGGCCCAGATGCCGGATGGATGACTGATGAAGAGGCCAGTCGGAGGGTGGAGAGGTGCTTCAAGAAGAGGCAGAATCACGTCCAGGGACGGATCTTGCGGAAGCTACTAAATTGCGAGCTGGCACTCGAGCAGGAATCGCTAGACCGCATCCGCTTCGCTGCGGACTACGTTCTCTTCGACGGCATGCTCCGCGGAAAAGTCAAGTGGAGGTGGTCGAAGGAAGGCGATGAAGGGTACGAGAACGAGCTACTAGGCTCGACGACGCCGCAGTATTCACCGGAGACGGGCATCGAGGCCCGGATTGTGCTGTCACGGCCTCTCCTGCTGTCCGGTAGGTACAGCCAGGACCTGCTCCTCTCGACCTTCCTCCACGAGATGGTGCACTGCTACCTCTTCATCTGCTGCGGCGATCAGGCACAGAAGGACGGCGGGCACACTCCTGGATTCCAACAGATTGTGCAGCTCATCAACGGCTGGACCGGGAACTCGCGCCTGCGCCTCTGCAGCATGAAGGCGGACCTGGACCACTTCACGGTCGGGTCGGAGGACTTGTCCCGCTGTCCTGTGGCGGAGGATATCGCCTACGAGCCGTCGTCTACCAGCCAGTATGTGGACTTCGGCGACTGCACCTTTGTGTGCGGTTCGGGCCAACATACGTTATCGCTAGGAAATGGAGATTCGCTGCTGGGGTTTGAGGAGATTCACAGGAACGTCTCACTGCCCCCATTGGCATATGTTAGCATGCAAGAGCGGATGATGCAGGCGCTGGGTGGATCGGTTAGCATGCCTATCCTCGTTGAATGAGTAGTGCTCTTGTCCGCGTTAAAAATCCTTTTGTTCTCGTTGTCGTACTATTATTTTACTTTCAGTGTGTTGAGCGCGATTTGGCGGCATATTATAAGGCGTTTTATATCTATAAAGGGTTTAGACTTTCGAGTTTTTTTAGCATACAATACCAGAAGCCATGATATCCTTGGCTTTGATCCATGTACCATTCAATGTGAACCAATCCATTTCGCGGGGCGGCAGTGTTGTGCAACCGTTTCATTTTTGTTGGACAGTTCTGAAGCGGACCCCAGGCTATTCTAACCACGCTTCCTCCACTCTCATTGGAAATGCTATCAACTATGGGACAGGTATTACAACAAGATTTTCATATCTGGCACAACCTTGGAAAAAGTTGTGGCACATCGTTGTGCTGTGTACATTTTGATTCTGAGGTAACCCGTTAAAAATTGGAACTTGACTCCGACTCCAGGTGCTTGACATACCATTATTCAGCTGCTCTGTACGCCGACATGTCCCCAGTACAGACACATCGGCTCTATAGTAACTTTTCCCCACATTGGAATACCGTGAGACCCGACTTAGGCCCCCACGATAAATTCCCAGCCACCAAACCGGGGCTCCAAGCCTTGCCAGTTGGGTTGAACTTCCACGCGCCGCTCAAGACCTTCATTCCGCCATCTCCTCCTCGCGGTTCCTCTCCGGGCTCCTCGATCGTGACCTCGCCCTCCCCTTTGCAGCCGGAGCTCTCCCACCCTTCTTCGGTGGCGGCCGCACAAAGACGAAATCGACTGTCACGGTTTGATCCAGGAGTTTCGTGCCGTTCGCGCCATTAACTGCTGCGCGCGCCTCATCGAGTGTTGGGTACTCAATCAGTGCGTATCCCTATTCCTCACATTAGCCTTCCCATCCCAAGAACTGTCCCCCACTGAGGCTCATCCATCCCCCCGTAAGGCATTTTCTTGTGTCCCTCAACCCCCCCCCCCCCCCGGGGGGCTCACAGCACCACGCGACGTACCTTGACATAACCCGTCCTCCGGTCCAAATTCAGGTGCAGATTCTTGATCTCTCCAAAATCGGCAAACTTGTCCGTGATATCCTCCTCGTTGGCCTCCTCATGCACATTCGACACGATGATGATCCAGCCCTCGATGGAGCGCACGGCCGTGGCGTTGGTGAGCGTCTGCATGGATGCGTTCTTTGGCTCCTCGGAGGAGGCAGCGGCGGTATCGGTGACGGGCGCATCGGCGACCTCGACGTCTACGTCCATTGCTGTGTCGGCCATTTTTGCTGGGGGTTGTGGAGTAATTGGCCTGTTGGTTTGTTGGTTGGTTTGTGGAGTTGCAAGTGGGATGGATGCGGCGGTTTGGGAAGTTTTGACAGCCTTGGTGTTGGGTGAGGCTAAAGGTGGTCCAAGCTTGCCCCATGCGCTAAGAGACTGGGCGGGAGGCCAGACGTTGGGGGAGTACGACGGTAGGTAGACGGGTCACCACTCGTTCGGGATTCTCAAAATAATATATTTTGAGGATATAATATCTTGGATTGTCTACAAACGGGTTAATTTTGCAATCTCACTTGCAGTGTTTACTCTGCCGGGCTTGGCGCCCTCCTAATCAGACAATGTGCATGCACAGGCTTACACCACTGATTTCGAGGTCTGTATAACGTCAGGCTCCCTCATTTTACCGTGTTTCTCCGCCATCCCTCTTCTCTAAACATTCTTGCGGTGCTTAACCCTCTCCTCTCTCTGACTATATAATGCTACCTGACAAGCCTTATACTATTGGGCAGGTGGTGGAAGAGGGGAGAAGTGGGAATTTGAGGTTGTAGGGGACAGTTAGGCGGCAGCTTTTGGGGTTTATATTGGCGCCGAGGTCAATAAATCCTTTAGCTCTATTGTTTCTGTTTAGGAAAAGAGTTCACATGACCCTTTCTTAATGAGCTTTGCTACTTAACTATATAACAGGTCGTGTTGTTGTTGAGCTGACATTTCCATTCCTGTGCAACAATAGTGCAGATCCCTAAAAATGGTATCAAACTACAATTATAGTTATGTTTCCAACTACAGCTACGCCGATACCGTCCCTTTTGAGTGCAGATCATTAATCAACCAACCCGTCCGTCTCCTTACCAGAACCAACTTCTTTATCCCTTCGTAACTAACATACGCAGGGCACACCTCCTTTCGACCTATCCTGCTCCGCATCTCTCTACAGCCCCAGGCAGAACCACAATGCCACATTCCAGGAATGCTGCGAAGGCATCGGTAGCAAAGTCTCCACCTTTGCCGTCCCCGACAGGGACGGCGTACGCCCTTGCTACCAATACTGCCAAGCCAGCGACATTGATGCACAGATTGCATTGTTCAGATGCCTAAAATTAGGCTTCATTACCCGTACATGCCCTGGGAAGTATGATCGATTTGGGCTTTTGATTGCTGCGGCTCCAGCGAAGAGCTTGTCTACAGGTGGATTGTTGGTTGCAGGGCTGGCATTAGTAGGGATGCTACATGTGTGGGTGTAGGAGAGCGATGTGACACGAATGGGGATTCGAAATGTTGATTAATTAGTGATACATGGTGGTCGCGGGGTGCAGTTGGTCCAAATCTAGAGTAATCAAGACGACCGCTTTATTTCCAACATACTCAAGTGCCAAAGTATTGTTAATACGTGATCTAGCGGATGATAGTTTCCAGTCCGAATGGCCACTCCCTTCAACAGGGGTGGCATAAAGCTGCATCGAAAGCTGCTAGACATCAGGAGCCCAAACACCACCACGTAGACTAAAATGTAATGTTATTGTTTGCTTCGGGGAATTGGTATCATAAAAAGAAATACATGAGAAATTCTTAAATTTAAATGCTATATTTTAAGAATTTCTTAGGAATTTAAGTTTCTGTATTAATTATCAGCAGTAAAATCTCTGAAACCAAAACCGAAATTAAATTATTTTATAAGGTCCTGCCAGGAACCCCTCAGGGGCTATCCTCCGAATCCCCAAAATGACATTATAAGCCCGGAGCAGCAGGTCCCTAAAATAGCTCATTCACCACTGTCTGTTCTGGAAGCCTTCTACCTGCGTCGAGACCATTGGATTTCATTTATAAGTCCTACATATTGTATACAACCCCTCTTAATTATACACAGAGCCTCCCAAACATACTTTACATTCCCATTCGATTATAGGTCGTATCAAACTACTTCCTTCACCTCCATCTTCGCGCCATTTCTCTCCAGGCTCTCCAAAAATGTCTTGCCCATCATAGATGTTGTCAGAACACCACCCTTCAGTCGAGCTTGTATACTAGTATCTCGTGAAAGTAGTAGAGCAGCCTCTCCAAGACAGACCCCAGTAAACGTATACGGGTCGATACCAACCGTCAGATTCGCAATCACCTGTTGTCCCTTCGTATTATCCGCAATAGCAGACGTGCGAACAACGAACGAGCATTTCTCCCGGAAGCCCAAGCTTGGTCCATCACCCTGCTTAAACGCCACCTTCTTAATCAACAACCGGAACGGCGGAATGCAAAAGAGAAACATGGCAGTCAACATAGTGAAGTGCCAGATAACAGCACTCACCGGACCTGGCACCCGCATCCAGGCATGGTAATCGAAGTTTTCACCGTAGGTCTCTGTTTCGCTATCCGCAGCTAGGCCCCAGCTTCGGTTGATGTAGCATTTATCAACAAGGCCCTGGGGGTTGACTCCCATCCAACCCAGCCGGGGCATCTTGCGGAGACCGAAGATTTGAGACAAGAGAGAGAGTTTCTTTTGAGGATGGCTCCGTTTGGGGTGTCTTGGTGAGAGAGAGAATGGTGCTAGTAGCTTAAGGAGCTGTGAGAGGGAGTATTGGTCAAACATGCGTATGGCGGAATTCACAGTGCCGCCGCTGATGCCGCCTTTTATCTCATGGACTGAGTAGTCCACCCTGGCAGTGGGTGAGGACAACTTGGTACGGATGTAATTAACCACGGTGAAGGCTGATATATCTGCGGGGACAGAGTCAAAGCCGCATGATGGAATTATCTTGTGGCGTATTAGCTAGAGGTATATGCCTGATTAGGGATTGTAGGCTTACAATGGCACCTGTCTTCTGTGCAGTTTCATGATACTTCTTTATCATATCAAGTATCCACGGGGTCTCTCCAGTGCTAAACAAAATAGAGTTAGTAATTACAGAAATTAGTAATAACAGAAATGCAGTCTTAGTTGTAACATACCAATCCAAATAATGAGTCCCATTTTTAGCACAAGCGGCCAACATGGGCTCTCCAAAGTCCTGATATGGACCAACAGTCGCAATTATCACTTTAGTTTTCCGTGCCAACAGCTCAAGCTGGTCGGCTTCAAGTCCGCATACTTCAATTGCTATAGGTACAAATTAGAATTTTAATCGAACTATAATTAACAACACATGGCAGTAGAACATACCTGGTAGAGCCCTTGAGCTGTCTTTTGACTGAAGTTCTTTTCGTAAAGCCTCGAGCTTAGCATGTGAACGACCTGCGATTGCCCACCGTAGATCACTAGGTAGCTTAGCATGAATGTGCTCTGCGCATAGCTTTCCAGTGTATCCAGTGGCGCCAAACAGCACAACCTCATATTGAGGTGACTGTTCCGTCGTCATGGTTTTAGTAGGCCAATTATTTGGCAAGGTAAACAAACCTAAATAGAAGAGAGGCAATTGCTGTAAAAATGTACACTCAATTATTTCCAAGTCACACATAAAGCGAATAGCATCATTCTTTATATTCCGCTATCAAGTTTCTCCCCTAGCTCACATGAAGTAGGCCGAGGTTGAGCCTCGATCTACGCCAATGCCCCTCATCTCAAACTAATTTTTCCTCCCGTCGACGGAGACACGGTATCCCAACTACCGACATTAGGTGAACGCCACCTACATATTTCTGAGACACTGCTATGTGCACCAAAGTGGCGTGGCAGGGCTAAATAAATTGGATGGTATAACACGAGGTTCGGTGGATTCGGATACTTAAAGTTCATCTTTTCGGAGCTGGAGCGGGGGCAATGGACAATCTTTAAACCGGCGGGTTGTTAGGGGGCCGACCCAGCCACTTGGCGATGCTAGCTATGTTTCAGTCTTCGACCATAACAAGCGCAACTGTGAACACGTAGAACATAGACGCGGGGGACTCATTTCGAGTATTCCGTCTACTTCTACTGGGCAGAATAAATACTTTTACTTCCGTGATCACAAGCCCTTGCTAATCCGCCTATGTGCAAACTGCCTTACCTCGTAACCCCCGGCAACAGTTTGCCCAAGTTTGCAAATAGGGGGATGGCAGGCGGGGAGGTATGACCAGCTCCGCCCTTGTCAACCCATTGACGGGTGCGGGGTACCTATTTGGGGGCCAAGAGTGCTGAAGATGCCGAATGAGGGGAACACAATAACGGGAGCAAAGAAAAGTCAATAGAGGCAGACAGACAAACGGAGGCGCGGGGCTCAGAAGTACGGTGTCTCAATATCTGCATTTCACCCCCGCCTGGAATACCTATCTAAACTCCCCACCTAATCAACCCTCCCCTTCTCAACTCCCCATCCCATCAACCAGCGTCGCCGCGCACCGCCGCCCAAACTACACCTAGTCACACCCCCATCCCGTCGTGAACATCATATGCATGTTTCTCGTAACACTCCTCTTCTCCCCCACGCAACAAAACAAACGCCGCCTCCATCTCCTCCCCGCCCCGTCATTAAATAACCCCCCCCAAAGTAAAGCCTGCAAGATAATACCCGCGAGTGCTTTTGTTGATATAGTGCGTTGGACGAGTGTGCTGAAATGTGGTGACCTCGGAGACATGGTGGTACAAGGTGCACGTAACAGTAGATGAGCTTGCTAGCTAAATAGCGAGATGCGGAAATAAATCAAGGCTCGGGGTTGGTGGAGGGTATATTCTCAAAGCTTTGATGAGCTGAGCACATGGAACAAACAGACCACATCTTGCGTAGACATGGCCACAGCTACCACTTTTGCGAGCAGCACCATCTGTAGAAATTTTCTGACCAGATTGAAAGGTTCTCATTCTTCATCCGAAGCATCTTCATCCATAGGGCTCCCTTGCGGCTCCTCTCCAGATTTCTTCTCTTTAGGCTTGGCTGTCTTAGTCGTCGTGGACACTGCAGGTTCCGAGTCCCTCCGTCCAAGCCCGCCCTCAAGCGAGTTTGCCAACGTCGGTGTATTCGCCTGGCTTCCACCACGCTGGCCATGATAGTGGACCACCTGCGGCGGAGCCATACCCGCTTGCGTAGTCCCAAGGAGGTGCTGGGGGTACGGATGGAGATCCTTCGACGATGTGCTGAATGTCGAGACGATTGGTTGCTGGTACCCATTCCCTACACTGCCGTTTCCGTTGGTAGCCGTAGGTGTCTGGCTGAAGCCCTGCCCATGCTCTGCTTGGGTGGGAGTGCCGCTATCTGCCCCCCCGCCGGGGCTGAACATTCCGTCAACCTGCCCTGTGAGGCTGCTTAGTCCACCTTGGATATCGCGGAGCAGGCGCACGTATTCCTCAGGAACAAGGCCGCTTTCGCGAGTCTTCGGGTCTTCCGCCACTAACCACCCTTGACCGTGTCTGTAGGAAACCCAGATAATTTGACCTTCAACAAGGGGAAGCTCGTTCTCATTCTCGCGCTCAAAGTCAAACAGCGCAACCGCCTTGCCATGCATCTCCTCATCTGGTGACGCAATCGTAAATTGGTAATCTCTGGAGTAGCGGGATTCATCTCGCGCCCTGCTTGGAGAGGAAGATCTGCTCGACACGTCGGAGTCAGATTGGTAGGTCGGGTTCTGCTGACCCTCGTTGCTATCCGCATAAGTGCGACTAGGCAGGAGGCTCCCAGCAAAGTGAGAGTCCCTCCTACTTCCAGTGTTTTCAGTTGGCGCAAGAGAGCCTGGCCATGCTTGACCAGCAGGAACTGTTACAATTTCACCACCAGGGCCGTTGGCCTCCGAGCCATTGCTCACGTAATATCTCTCGCTCCCGTCGCCATTGCTTCCTGCGTAAAAGCTGCGATCCTGACCGAAATTATCTGGGCTGAGCAGGTTGGGGTTGCGCTCCTCGCCTTCTTCCCGGTTCCTTCCTCGCCCGCGACCGCTTCCATGCGAGTGGTTGGATGTCTTGTGTTTCTTATGACGAGAGCTGATGACTATCGGGCTCTGGAGATCTTCGTCTTCGCTCCATGGAGGGCCATCTCCAAAGTGTATAGGTGGCAGCTCTCCGCCTTTGGCCAGCCCGGTGCCAACATGGGATCCTATTTCCCAGCTTCCTCGACTATCCCAAGAGGTAGGCGGATCCGAGAAGCGCTTTGACTCGCTGGCGGGAGTAGAGGTTCCGGAGGGAGGGTTCGAAGGTTCGGGTAGTGGCCCATAGTGCAGAGGGTGGTGTATTCCATAAGCAAAGTCGCGCACTGTCGTATATGGCAGGCTTGAATGGAAGGCTGGGAATATGTGAGATGGAGGCCGTGACCTTGATGGCCGATCCGAGGTTATGGAGTATTGTGAAAGCCTATTCTTCGACGCATGGGAAAGTGGTCGTTGTAGGTTGGAACGCCGCGCCGGAGGCGACGTGACTAAAGGTGGTAGTGGTGGATGGCTTGTATTCGGCGACAATGATGCTGGCGCTGGAGAAGCCGACGGCGACGAGGTCGTCGACATGACTTCAGTCATTGTCCCAGATTTATCGCCAGCAGCAGCGAGTTTGCTCCTCAAGGCTGAGATCAGGGTCTCAGAGTGTCTGGTTCAGGCCAATCCACACCCGGCAGCAAGCCACTCGGTATTCTAAACTTCGCGTGCGCAGTCTTATGCTGGTGTCGGAGAGAGGATGCGAATGTCGCGGCGACGACGCAAGGGAAAGGATCGAGGGTATATGGCAACTTTAATAATCGCGCCTGAACGGGGCGCTAACAAGAGTAGTCGCTGGGGCGAAGCGCCGAAAGATTAATATGCGCCCTCTTCAACGCGCCCTCTTGAGGGGGAGAAGGCCAGCCAGTGGGCTTTGAGGGTAGTAGTAGTAGTAGTAATAGTAGATAAGAAGTTGTGTGTGTACTGAAGTAAAAGTTTGAAGGTACTGTATGATGTATGTTGGCGCTGTATGGCACTGTATGGCACTGTACTTCCTTCGAGTACCCCTCACTAAGACAGGCCGTGAGAGGGCCTTATTTCGCTATCGCTCGTATTTGGAGAGGCGATCTTCTTGATCGTAAGTAGAGAGTCACCAGTCACCATAGGTTAATCACCAAAGCTATGGATCGCGATTAACCACGTGACTATATATGGGGGATGTTTCTTGTTTGGAAGACAAGAAAATGAAGCTTCCTGGCCTTTATTTTGGGGGGTGGGCGGGCGTTTATTTTGTGGTATTTTTGCCGTTGGGTGCGGGTTTTGGAATGAGATTTGAACTTTCGAGACTCGGACAGAACATGGGCGCACGAAGCTATTCTTAGACGTTTCATGTTCTTCTTCCAATCGCCATCGAGCCATGTTTTGGGCGGTAGGTGGTGGCTATTGACGGAAGAGGACTAGCGTGTTAAGTGGGAAATGCTGTGTTCTTCTGCTTGCTTAACCCTTCTCCATGGAAAACCCAACAATCACCAAAAACATCAAAATACCATCACCACCTTCAAAACACTGACATTCACCGCCCTCAGTCTTCCACGCATATCTTGGGACTGTTGCACACTTTGGTAAGCCGTCTCTGTCTCTGCTGCTGTGTATCTTCACAATCTATCCTCCCCTCTCCCTCTGCTTCCTGATGATCACTTATTGGAGCTGTCTTATCTTCATGATGACACAACTTTTTAATTAATATACAACTTTTGACTGAAAGCCTTTTACAAGAGCCCTTCTTTGCTATTACAACCTCTTCACAGAGCTGCAGCTAACGTTGGTGACCTTCAGATACCGGATGTGACTGTTCTGCGGTGGACAGTAGACCATGCTGTCTAGCTGAAACTTTTACACTCTCTTTTGCCCACAGCTGTCTTCCATCCCATACGACAACTGCAAGCTCTACTACCTGACAATTCACAATGTCACAGCCAGATGCAGCTGCTGCGGCCCCTGCCAGCGACGTAACTGTTGCCAACGGGAGTCAGCCAGATGCTGGTGGATTCAAACTGAAGTTCTGCACGGTTTGTGCCAGTAACAACAACAGGTATGTAGCCACACTAGTACTTCCCATCTCCAATCACTAAAGGTAGGCAACACAGATCTATGGAAGCACATCTGCGACTCGCGGCAGCCAACTTCCCTGTCATCTCATTTGGCACGGGTTCTCTGGTGCGTCTGCCAGGAGCTTCCATGAACACCCCCAACGTATACCACTTCAACAAGACCTCATACGATAGCATGTATAAGGAGCTTGACGCGAAGGATCCACGCTTGTACCGGGCAAATGGGATATTGAACATGCTTGACCGGAATCGCAACGTGAAATGGGGACCAGAGCGATGGCAGGACTGGCAGGTTGGGATGCCTAGACTAGATCATGCGAAGGAGAGAGGGTTTGAGGGGACGGAGGGGGGAGTTGCTGATATCGTGATCACTTGTGAAGAGAGATGCTGGGACGCTGTAGTTGACGACCTCCTCAGCCGAGGCTCGCCCTTGAACCGCCCAGTTCACGTCATCAACGTGGACATCAAGGATAACCATGAAGAGGCCTTGGTGGGCGGACGCGGCATCTTGGATCTCGCCGAGTCGCTGAACAAGGCAGCCGCAGAGGAGCGTGATATCCGTGGAGCGTCATCCTTTGACCAGGGCAGTGCTGCGAGTCGGTCGGGCTTCGACGAGAGGGTCCCGGACATTATCGGTGAATGGCAGGAGCGATGGCCAAACCTACCCGCGACATGGACACTGGCCTGGTTTTAAGATGGGGTGGCCAATGCTTTTATGCTGTCGGCGTGTGCGCGAAGATATACCCAGTTGGCTTCGACGAAATGATGAAGAAATGAAATGCATTGTATAATTTGACGAGTCTCACTCAACACAAATGGATCCGTCCATCCATCCGTCATCCATCCATCCCGTGGGTGTCGTTGCACCGGAACATCCGAAACAAAGCAAACATGATGAATGAATCCGCAGTGAAACACCGTGCACTTAGGTTGCAGAATCTTCTGGCCATCAAACATTGAAATTGGAACTGTGCATACTTGGGTTGTTGGATTGTCTTACTCGGAGACTCGTTCGTGCGTACGTACTCTCCGTTGTTGGTGCCACCCGGCGCAGTCGCGGGCTGGATCAGCTAAAATGTTTAGATTGTGCGTTTATGCGCTTTACAGGGGATCCTGTTCAGGCTGTTCCTGACTAGAAGAGACCCAATGGGAAGATTTGATTGGATAGCTGGTCGATCCGGGGATAACTAAACTTGGTACCTGTCCAACCTTTTCCAACCTCAGCGCCTCTCCAGACTCTCCAGACTCTCCAGACTCTTCCGTGTCCTCCACAATTGGCTGTGTGCCATACTTGTAGAACGGTTAGTATGGATGTAGTATGATATGGATCAGAGTATGGATCAGAGTATGGATCACAGTATGACACAACTCCGACCTGAATTGTACAATACCATACAATATCACAGATCACTTTCCTTTTTATGAATTCTCACATTGCGATTTATGATCGAGGTACTGTACATACATAACTTTGTCTCCAAGAGTAATCCAAGTACATTCCTACCATCCTATATTACATCTCATTTTAAAAAGAAGCTTCTGTAATTCCCAACCCCTTGTTGATATACCGTCCCACTTGGCTTCGCCCCCCCGAGTTACGTGTGAGACCGTAGGAAGGAAAGGAGTCGAACGGGATATTCCTCTGCACATCTAAAGTGGAAGCGTGAACACTTTTGCACGTTTTAAATTACTTCTGGAGCGATCGTCGTCGTCTCTGCTGTACTTTCTGTGCCGTACAGTAAAACTACAGAGTAGTAGTACTGAACATCAATCTGTACTCCGTACTCCGTACTCTGTACTCCCTATACCGCCTGGCTGTCGCATGTCTTCTGCCCAGAGTCTTATGTTCTGCGTGTTCCGTGTGTCTCTCTGTGTCCCGAACTAGGGAATTGCGAAAAATCCCATCGCATCCTGTCTGGCCTGTCTTTCTGCGGTGCTGGGTACATAAAGTCACTTAAAGTCTATCTGGATCACAACAGCCACTTTTTAGCGCTATCCGACCACGCGCCCTCAACTCACCACCACTTAACCTCCCCCGTCCACTTTTGGCCCTTTCGCCATAATTCACCCTTACACCCCCATTCATACTTTCAGGGCCTCGATCCTCCCACCTTGCCCACTCTTCTTCCTCTTCTCGACCATCGACCAAAAAGTATTGCTGCTGCTCTACTTTAAAACTAGCTTCACCAAGGGCTCTTGATATCCGAGCCGTCGAGGGGTTCTGAGCTGGTACCTCGCCGAAAGACTGCGTGCGGTCCTCCCCTTGCCATCACCGACTTTCTTTCAACTCCCGCCAACCACACGTCCACCTCGCGCCGACCTTGCCAACGCTACGAGCAGAGCTACGAATAGCGAACCCATACGGTTGAACGGCGGCGCTCTGAATAATTCACGAGATTCATGTCTGACGCCAATTACACTTTAATGTACAATTAAGAATAATCGCCGACGTCCTGCGTTTCAAGATCCGACTCTTCGAGCCACGAACCCGCGGATATACCTGAACATATATTATTTGAACGATAGATAGAAGCTGAGGAGGATATATATTTTGTGCCGAGCCTGGATTACCTGCTGTCGCTTTGTCGCAACCAGTCTGTGGACCTACAATAAAGCGACTACCATACAATGAATCGAAGCCCCGGACCTTTGTCCCCAGTCTCAATAGGAGGCGGAAGCGAGTGGTCGGGCATCTCCAAATACCAGGGACTCGAGGAGAACCCTCCATACTCCCCGAACAATCGCGGAAATCTAATAACACCACCGGTCTCGAGCGGCTCCAACGGGATGATGAACGGAGGAGGCTTTCCTCCCAGGGGACCTGAGAGCCAGAACGGAAATGTGCCTTCACCGCCAGCATCGATAGCGCGCTCCAGCATCCCGACAAGTCTTTACAATGGGTCGATGAACGGAGGGCCTGCTGGTGGGCGAGACCGCAGGGATGAACAGTTTGAGGGCATACTGAGCGAGCACTACGTCTCTCTCAAGCGGTTTCTGGCTGCGTCTCTGCGCGATGAGAAGGGCAACCCGAGGCCGAACAAGGCGCGAGACAAGCTGCTGCGACTGTCGCCCGTGCAATTCCAGGAACTGAGTACGGATGTGTTCGACGAGTTATTGCGGAGGCAGGCCGCGGGCCGCAACCAATCTGTCGCTGGACTGAACGAACAAAACGCCCCACCGCAATTCCTGCTCCCCAAAGACACCTTCCACCCAAAGCGCAACCAGGCGCGACAAAAACTGTCCACGCTACCACCGCCACGGTTTAGGGACCTGGCAACCGATGTATTCTACGAGCTGGAGCGGAGGTTTCCAAGGTTTGCTGGAGGGGATATCAGCCGGAGCGGGAATGGAACACCGGTCGACCCGAGAATGCGGATGCGGAGGCCGTCGGAGGCCAGCTCAGTGGGATACGCGAGAAGCGAATCTCGAGGTACAACTCGCGGTCTGGGAGGCGGGCAGCCTGGGTCTCCTGGTATGCCACCGAACGACTACGGCCGGCCACAACCCAAGACATTCCAGAGCAACACGCTGGTGCCTAATAAGAGTACAATGGTGGAGGATGATGACGACCAGGATAATGACTCGGATGCATTTGGATTAGAGAGCGCGGTAACAGCGGGCGTTGGTGCAAAATCAGAGGTATGTGATAGTGAGAGTCGTGCGCATATCACTGCTAACCAATATACAGGAGGATAAAAAGCAATTAAAAGAGTACGAGGAGCAAGTGGTCGCGCTCCAAGAGAAGGTCGGCGGGCTGGAAGAGAAATTACGGCAGAAGGACGAGGAGCTTAATGATGTTCTGGACGGCGAACGTAGCAGGTCGACAGCTGCGAATGCAGAGAAGCAGGAGTTTTCGGATCTGCGGTTGAAGCTGGAAGAGAAGCTGGCAGACGCCGAAAACCTGAACGTGTCGCTACAGTCGGAACTCGACAGGCTACGCGCCGAGCACTCGGAGACGGAGAGGGACCTGAGCGATCAGTTAGAACAACTGCGCGTCTCAGGAGGAGGCGGAGGTGGGAATGAGGCACTGGAGCGCGAGAACGAGGAGTTGAGGGCTGAGTTGGAGGAGCAGCAACAGACGACGGATGATGTTCGACGAGAGGCTGGTAATTTCTTGAGGGAGATGAAGTTGCTCACCGAGCGCAATGGGACGTCCTGGGAGAAGGAGGAGCAGCTTGTGATTCAAGTCAACAGGCTAGAAGCCGAGGTCGAGGACTGGAGGAACCGATACGCAAGGACGAAGACCCAATTACGAAATGCCCGGGCTTCGTCGATTGGCCTCACCATCCAACCTAAACAGACTACGAGCAGCCATAACTCTCCTGATGGACTGGTCAAGGATGTCCACGTCACCAAATTCCAGATCTCTATCGATGAGCTGCTACGAACCGCTCGCTCTGAGACCCCCGAGAACGTTGTTGAGTACATGAAGAACGTGGTTATCTGCGTCCGCAGTATTACGCAAGACATCGACAACTCCACAAACAACCCCGAACTTGCTCAAGGCCTGGCGAAACTCAAGGCCCGCGTCTCCGCAACTGCCAACAACCTGATCACCGCCTCCAAGAACTTCACAGCCGCCAAGGGACTCTCACCCGTCTCCCTCCTCGACGCCGCAGCATCCCACCTCACCACCTCCGTCGTCGAGCTCGTCAGCACCGTCAGGATCCGCCCCACGCCCGCCGGCGAACTCGAAGACGACGACAACGAAACCCTCCAGCCCATCGAGACCCCAAGCTACTACCCCACCAACGGCGACCTCAAGGAAAACATCTCCGCCCCCTTCATGGGAATGCGCCAGAGCAACGTGTCCTCCATGTACAGCCCGGTCAACTCACCGCGCGACTCTAGAGTTCCCCGCTCCCGCAGCGGCTCCAAGACCGAGCCATGGCGCCGCTCGATCTCGCGTAGTGGGCAGAACGGCATGAATGGGAAGCTACCACCCGCACCGCTTGGGTCTATGGGCGCCTTCGGGATCCGCGGACCGGAGCAAAACAACGAGATTGAAGATCTGAAGGTACGACCTACGCCACCCTGAAACAATACTTTATCCCGTACGATATACTAACACTCCCTAGATCTTCCTCGAAGACCAAACCGCCTTCCTCGTCCAAATGATCCAATCCCTCGTCTCGAGCATCCGCTCCGACAACGGCGTCGACGCCATCATCGGCGAGCTCGCCTCCATCGCCGCCGTCGTCGAGAAAGTCATGTCCGCCACCGAGTCCAGCATGGACGGCCGCTCCGACGCGGCCGCCCAGCTGCGCCAGGAAGCCGAGGGCATAGTGCGAAAGCTCGAGGCGTGCCGCGAGCGCGTCCTCGATGCCGGGGAGCGCGGGGCGGAGCTCGCTCGCGAGCAGGCTACGGATGCGGAGTGGAAGGTCTGGACGCAGGGGTTGCCGCCGGTGGCGTTTGAGATTGCGAGGGAGACGAAGGAGTTGGTTAGGGTGGTGGATGGGTTGGATGAGGAGGAGGATTTCGCGTAGATGGACCGCGTGGGGGAGTTGGGGTGGATGGATACCCAGTACATAAGGAGGGGAAGGGGGATACACGAGAGCCTGTTTGTTTTTGCGGGATACCTTTGATTGATCTTGCCAGGCATTTTGGGCTGGCTGGCTGCCTACCTCGAAAGGGGGGTTTATCATTCGTGTGCTTAGCTTTTTCTGCGTGTTTTGTTTGCCCTCCATACCCCCGTGGACAATTTGTCTCTGGCAGGCGGAGAGGCTTCTTTTCAGTTCTCTAGAGCGGGTTTTATGTGGTCAGTTTTTTGAGGGGTTGTCATGTGTGGAGGAGGGAGGGAGAGGGGGGATAAAAAACATTCACGCGTTTATGGTTACGGTCGAATTGCATAAGGGGGGAGGAGACCGGGGAGGGGGTTGCATAGGAAATAGATAGCCCAGAGGGGCATGTAGGTGGTGGTGCATTGAGGCGGAGAAAGGGTTAATTCGCTAATTTGTATTACTATGTGTGTTTACATCCCGTTGAATGTGTTCTTTGATTTGGGTGACTGTGGTGGGTTATGAGGCTGGCTAGTTTGGGTGGTGGGTGGGGGATATTGTTGGATATGGGAAAATAGCTGACTACAGCTGGTTTATAACGATAGACACAGAATCCCCACCTGAGCCGATGCCACTTACTGTTGGATGTATGCCTGACATCTTTACATATATGGGGGGAAAGCTATGGAGTCTAACTCCCAAGACTTTCTATGCTAATCCACGGGTCCAGTCAGAACCAACAGCAACAGTGAGAACTAACAGTAAAAGTGAGAACTAATAGTAACAGTGAGAACTAACAGCACTAGTGAGAACTAACAGCAACAGCGAGAACTAACAGCAACAGTGATAACCAACAACCCAACACCTATACCAACAACCCAACAGTGGGTATTCGCTGGTGGTCACCCACCCAACTACTAATCCACTGATCTCAAGCAATCCTCTGCATAATACTTAAATTGGTGCCATCTGGCCTAGTGGGTGAGTCTCGCCGCCCTTATCCTTATTTTGTGATCGCGGCTATCTCGACCACCTCGACCAACCAAATGTGGGACCATTTTTGACACCGCGTTGCACCGCCCTGCACTCATCACTGCTGCATTCCGTCACTTTAGCTAGTAACTTAAAGATACGGGATCCCAGGAAAGTCGCCTGTCATCCGTTAAAAGTGCGTACGATGACGTCAACACGAGCCGCACTAGCCATAAGCCCATTCGCGATTCTTAATGCATCTTAACTCCGGAGAACCGGAGAATCAGAGTATTTTAACTAAATTATTCCACTTCCCATTTCATGCGATTTATCCTCTGCCTAAGCGATGCGGATATCACTGTCACTCTTCTCTGTACAGCCCACAAGCTACAGGGAATTTCCTCGACACTTGAAGTGGCAGCAATGGAGAACAAACCCGGTAGCTGGTTACCCACCTGCTTAGAGAGCACTTCGTCGCAAGAGCATAACGCAGCGTATCGACCTAATGGCCAGGCAGGACCTATACAACCAACGTGGTTCCTATTCAGATCATTCCGATTCGATCGCGCCTCAGCCTAGCTATGCTTCGGACAACGCTTGGATGCATACACGGAGCGATAGCCATGGCCCCAACGCCGCCTTGAGAGGACCGACTCCACCCGACGTTTTCAGCAAGCTCTCGGCTGCAATCCCCGACTTGCGCCCTCTTGACTCTGGAGCTCGGGCAGCAACAAGAGCAGAGCAAAAGATTACCTTTCTGGGCGGCTGCCGATTGTATCCCAAGGCTATGGCGTGGTCGATGGCTATATCCTCTACGATTATTATGGAAGGGTTCGACACCCTTCTAATCTTTAGTTTCTTTTCCCATCCCACTTTCAGACGAGCTTATGGTGTGTCCACTGGCAATGGCAACTATGAGATTCCTACCCGCTGGCAATTTGGCCTTCCTACGGCGGCGGAGGCAGGAGAGATTGTTGGATTGCTTCTTAGTGGCGTAGTGGCCGATCGCATTGGGTATCGTTTTACACTAGCGGCAGCCTTGATTTTCCTCTTTCTCAGCGTCTTCTTATCATTTTTCGCCGTAAGTCTGGAGTTGTTGTTGGCGGGGCAGATCTTATGCGGTATCCCATGGGGTGTCTTTCAGACACTGTCCATCAACTACGCTGGTATGTGAAGTGGTTTCGAAGGTCTGGATTGCACCTGTTAATGGCTGTGGTAGCTGAAGTGATGCCAGTAACGCTCCGTGGATACCTTCTTGCTAACATTAATTTATGCTGGGTATGGGGCCAACTCCTCGCAACCGGCATAGTCAAGGCGTTAGTCAATAACAGCTCCCAATGGTCATATCGCCTTCCATTTGCTTTGCAATGGGTGATCGGCGTACCCGTGTTCATCGCTGTTCTTCTAGCACCTGAATCGCCGTGGTGGTTGATCCGGGACAACCGCTTGGAAGCAGCCAAAAGTTCGTTGCTGCGGCTGACAACAAAGGGGACAGTCAACGTCAATGAAACGGCCGCAGTAATGACGTATACCAACGAAGTTGAAAAGTACTTGAATGATAAACCCAGCATCGCGTACCTGGACTGCTTCAAGCGTTCCGATCTCCGACGAACCGAAATTACCTGCGTGGTGTGGGTTACACAGCAAGTTTGTGGTACCAGCCTGCTAGGCTGGGCGGCATACTTTTACGAGCAGGCCGGACTTCAGACCAACGACGCTTTCAGTCTGTCAGTGGGAACCTATGGTCTGGCCGTTGTGGGCAATGTGGTTTCTTGGTTTCTGCTGCGACGCGTCGGTCGGCGTAGACTTTACCTTGGCGGGCTCTTGACCATGCTTATTACTCTACTGGCTATAGGGGGTGTAGGGGTGGCTCCTACATCCCGAGGCCAATCGTGGACCCTTGGTTCTCTTCTTCTGGTCCTAACATTTATCTATCATTTGACCATCGGGCCAGTATGCTTTGTTCTGGTTGCGGAGATTCCCTCCACTCGGCTTCGTGTCAAGACCGCCGTCCTGGCCCGTGTTGCGTACAATCTAGCCGGCATCCTCATTAATTGGATGACTCCAAGGATGTTGAGCCCGACTGCCTGGAACTGGAAGGGAAAGTCTGGTTTCTTCTTTGCCGGGACTACATTTTTGTGCTTGGTGTACTGTTACTGGAGGCTCCCGGAGACATTGGGCTTAAGCTATCTCGAGATTAATGTCCTGTTTGAGAGAAAAGCGAAAGTCAGCAAGTTCCGGGAGCTTCAGATTAATTTGGACAGCTTGGGCTATTTTAGCATGGACAGAGCAGAGCGAGACCAGTTACCCTTCCGAGCATATTGAGAAAGGTTTCTCCTTTGTAATAGTACATTATATTTTTGTGCAAATTTACCATTTTACGCATAGCAAAGGCAGCGAGACATCGGATATTGATCGCAGACCTACCACGTGACACGACTCACCCTGAGCGCGTTAAGATTGCGTCTTTCAGCCTACAGTACGGCGCGAAAAGTATTTATACGGTCTGTGGACAAATAGGTGTACAAACCGCTTTATTTGCTGCAATTGGTGGACAGGCCCGTACGAGTACTGTTGGCGGTGTACTGTAGGCGTTCTGGTTCCAATCGGGAAATCATTGGCGGGTGGCTTCTTGAAAGCATTCGACAAGCTGATTTTTCGACCGGGATATTTGTTGGGGGGGGATTTGCGTGTTGGATAAGGTGCTTGGGACGAGGTCGTTTGTACCGTATGCAGCGAAGGGAACAGGTGAAGTTGTTGGTATGGTGGATGTGGATTCAGGGGCAGTTGACGTTCAGCGGGAAGGGATATTGCCTGACCGCCACGGGAGATAAAGACTGAACAGCAAGGAAAGCTGGTGGGGAAATAGGATCTGGGATACCAGGATATTATCATATATAAATACGGTGTCAGTACCAGATGCCTTGACCATGGCACACCAGCACTGGACTCAGAAGGCCAAATACTTCCTGGCCAGCCACGACGCAGTAGAGCCTGCACCAATCGGAAAGGAGGGCAAAGTCAACTACCGACCGTATATCAAAAGGCGCCAATAATATTCTCACCGCTGCCAGTCGTAATGATAGTGGGAGTCAGCAATGCCAGCAGACACTACCAACGACGAGAACCAGTATCGACAGTGAGAACTAGCAATAACAGCAAGAAATAGTAGAGACAAAAGTCCAAGAAATAACAGCTGTTTAGGATTCGTATTCTTGATTCTCACGAGCCTCATTTCTGGCAAGAGATGGCATTGGTGAACGTTGGTTGACACATGAACCTATCTTCCGATGGTCTTTCGAATACGGCGCCTACCCATCTTTCTCATCCTACTTTAGTAACAGGCCTCATGGAAATGTCACCAGCACCTGAAACTAGGCATCTCATACTTAGTATAAATTCCTACTACTTCCTCTTACAGTCTCCGGAATATAGAATGTGCGAACCGCCTTTTATCGACAGGCGCCAGGAGAGATACTATCCCCAGCATTTTTGCTCATGGTATTTCGTTCGCTGCCCTGTAGAATGTTGACCTTTATTGCCTCTCTAATACTGAAAGATATAACAGGCCTTGTATGGTTGTATTACAACGCCATCACTTACGAGGGTAGCCAGGGGGTCAATGAAAAGAAGAGTCGCCAGGGAACGAAAATAGCAATACATCTTCTACTGGTAACATTATCGCTAATCAGTCCCCTACAACGTGACAGGCCACAAGAACTCCACGACGTGCAATATGCTGCATTAAGCCACCGCAAGTATCGCTACAGTAGTTTTAGTCTATCCTCCCCTCCCCCCCCTGAAATGGAGATCCCATCGCACCCCAAAACGCCAAAACTCTATCTCGACAAAAATCCCTGTCCAGTCTTCCAATTTGCCCAAAAAGACGCCACATGCCACCTGCTCTAGAAGTGAAAAGTAAAGAAAGAAAGAACAAGAGAGTGTAGTGACACCATACCAGCAAGGGGTGTAGCTAGCTGACTGAGCCGTTTTCCATGCCAAGATGAGTGATTAATAATGTAACAATAAACCCCCTCCAAGACCCAATACTTGGCACCCCTAATGCGCGTGCCCGTCGTGCGAGTGGTCATGGCTGCCATCCGGGTGCGCGTGCCCGTGGCTACTACTACCCTGCGACACACTGCCGCGCGATCCACCGCCCCCATGCTGCCCCCCCGAAAGCGTCGGCGGCGGGCTCTTGGTAGAGCAGCAGCTCTTCCCTACGCAGTCGTCCACGCATTCCAGGAGACACACATCCACCGGCGTGGCGCGGGCGGTGCTATCGCCATCTCCGCCACCACCATTGGCATCACCGTGGTCGTGCGCTCTTTCGAGGCAGAACTCGGGTTGGATGGTGGCGCTGTGGATGCCGTATGCGTGAAGACACTTTCGGACGGCCTGGGAGACCTGCATGTAGCGTGCCGCGCCGCCCTCGGCGGAGATGTGGAAAGCGACCTGGATGTGCAGACTAGCGATGATCTGGGAGTCCGACAACTGCCAGATGTGGACATGGTGGCAGGATACGACGCCGGGGATATTCTGGATATCTTCCTTGATATCGTTGACGTCGAGGTGGTCGGGGGTGGCCTGGAGGAGAATCTTGGCAGTCGCGGAGGTCAGTGGGACGGCGGAGCGGAGAATGATGAGAGTGATGAAGAGGGAGACGGCCGGGTCGGCGTAGAACCGGTTCGGGGAGTCGGTGAGCCAGATTATGAGCGCGGAGATGATGACGCCGACGTTGCCGAGGGCGTCGCCGATGACGTGGAGGACCATGGCGCGCATACCTAGGTCAGCGTGGTTGTGGCCGTGGCCGCCGCTGCCGTCCTTGCGGGGCTTGTTGTGGTTGTGGCCGACGTGCCAGGAGTCCTGGCGGATAGCTTGGTAGCCGTAGCCGTTACCTCCAGCTGGCTTGAGGCCATCTGATGGGCTGGAGCGGAGTGGAGAGTGCTCATTTGGCTCGGCTTGCTCGCCCGCTGGGGATGAGGGGCCAGGGGATTCGAAGTCGTCTGCGCTTTGGATGTCGTCTAGGGAGTTGCGGCTTGCTTCGATGATCTCCTGACGGAAACTGGCGGGGTGGATATTGATATCAGAGGCGAGGCGGCTTGTTATGCTGCTTGAGCGAACCTTGGGGCGTTTGTTGCGAGGGGACTTATTGCTGTTGTATCTGCCCAGGGAAAGTGATGGGTCGCTCCCCTTGGAAGTGCTGGCAGTCTCATCGGAGCTTGTAAACTTGGCCAATCTTTCCCTTCCTGAATCCGTGGAGCGTCTGGGAGTTCGTGTGGCTCGTGAAACCACAGCTTCTGGCAGAACATCTCCAACCCTCCCGGTCTCGTCAGCAAGATCGGCCGATGAGATGTCTACCGCGCCCATTTGTCCCTCCTCGGCTGTTCTAACGTCGTCGCCATGGTCATGTCCCTCGTGGCCGTGTGCATGCTCTTCAGGTCCGTGTGAATGTCCATGTCCACCGAGAACGAAGAATCCCACGATATTCGAAGCCAGGCCCAAACAGCCAACAATCAGAATGAGTTGTGGGTTTGTAATAGTCGCAATGTTGACGAATCTTGTAATCGCCTCGAGGATGATAGAGAGACACAGGGCAATCAGGAATACGGCGTTGAAGAAGGCACCTAGAATCTCTGCTCGTAACCACTGTTGGAGAGTCAGACACGATTCTATATTTTGGAGCCGAAGACACTTACACCAAAGGAATATTTGTCCGAGCTAGACTTCTGCGCAGCTTTCACGGCCCATAGTCCGACGAGTAGAGATATAATATCGTTCAGCTATCCCATGTTAGCGTAGCTCTTCCGTCTCGAGCACCAGCAGGCGTACCATGTGAAAGGCGTCAGCCATCAACGCCAGCGATCCCACCCAGATCCCAACGCCCAATTCGATGATGAAGAAGGCGATATCAATCACCAGCATCACAATAATCCGCGTCGACTTTGTCCACGCCATCGTGGCTGGTGGCGAGCTGCTGCTCGGGTTCAGTTTTTCGTGTTTATTATTTCGTCCAGGTGTTGTGAAGGGGCGGCTCAAGCTGTGATATCCCTTGTTGATCCAATGTTTGTTGTCGGAGGAGCTGCCGTCAAACACAGCAGATGTAGTTGTCGTAGAAGCCAGATCCCAGAATGAATGGTCTATCGGTGAGTGAGGTCGTACCTGCGTCGCCACAGTACCTCATTCACGAGCAGCCTCGCGTTACTCGACGTCGAGGCTAGTGGATGGAATTATGGAGATGGAGATCGGAGGGGACAGGTCAGGAGCTATGGTTGTACAAGTACCTAAGCGATGGCCTGGAATGTGTGTAATTATATGTACGAGTACGTAAACAAACCTATCACGCCATTCAAATAACGCAGTATCTCTGAAACGGGGCAGTAAGGGGGATATATATTTGTATTGATATTGATATTGATATTTTATATGGCATGTGGCCAATTTGATTTCTCTGATGCACTTCGCCACTGCTCCTGTTATATGGACTGTACATACACATGCACACACACAAATCTTGACCGTTAGGAGACGACACCCGCGCGGCTATCTCATCTCGGATTTGTGCACGGAGTTATCATCTCTGGCCAGACCGGCCAACACACCCACCACCTCCTCTTAGCTTGGGATAGACAACACCAAGCCATAAGAGTAGCGCTGCTGTAGCGTAGCATGGGAGCATTGGGCACAGGGCACAGACGTGGAGTTCGCATGAGATGGATCTTTCGTGCATCTGTAGTGTAGCCTTGTGAAATAGTGTTTATGTGTCACTTTGTGGTCTACATGCTATGTACTGTGTTGTTATCGTTGCTTCAACAACCTTCCCCCTTTATAATCCAATCTCATTATTATCATTAGTATCCAATCAGTATTTTCCTCGTCGGGCTGCTCGTTAACCCGACTATTATTGTTGTTTTCAGATTATACAAGCTTGATCTTCTCTGTATCAGCTCACGGACTTGTCAACACCTGGGTATTCGTAGGTTCAGCATTCTCACCATGGCACTATTTGTATCGGCCACAGTCACTGGCGAGATATAGGGGTAAGTTTCCGTCTCCTGTAGGTTAAGGCACACATATCTCTCGGTCTGTGCCTTGTGCAGCCGAGGCTCAGCTGCTGGGCGTATCCAAGGTATAGCATTGTTCAGCGTCCCCTCATCCTATCTCTTATCTCAATCGCCACAAGGATGCCGAATAAGACGATGCACAACTGGTCCAAGGCGTAAGCAACTCCTTTGGCCGAATTGGGAATGGACTTACCAGCAGAACCAGCAAACCTATGAGTGTGATTTCGAACCCACCAGCCAGAGCCTTACCTCGAGTGATGGCATTTTGCTGCCTCCACCACCGGAAAGTCCCCAGCATGAGTATCAGCATCGCCCCGCCCTGGCAGATAGCCCCGAGCGGCTTCCCGGTGACGAAGTACCCGATGTGGGGGTCGGGCGATGTGCTCTTCTGGAGAGTGAAAAGCTGAGATATGATAACGCCAAGCATGGATAGAGCCTGGGATGTCCTGAGGTAGCCGAGGAACGTTCGCTCGAGAGCTACAAAAGCAGATTAGCCCAGCTCATCTCCATGTCTCATAAAGTACATGCAAAGACGGAAATGAATCTGAAACAGAAGGATCTGAGAAACCACGAGGAAATATAAACGTATATTGGAATACGGCAAGAATAGGATAGAGATCGAGCAAGGCCACATGGAAGAGCTATCCTATCCGAGACACGTCGCGGCTTGGCCAATAGACAACAATTACCACGAGATGAAGCGCGTATGAAGTGAAGTGCGCATGGCAGGCCCGTATTGAGGCGTCGTCATTCGTTGTGTGCTGGGGTGCACGAGTGCAACGATCAACATTGAGCCTGCGGAAGTTCCATCTCCGCCATCCAATCCAGTACCCTGGAAAATAAAAAAGCAAAAAGCGGCGAGACATCTTAATCCCGGCCGGCGGATAAACACACCCTGGCGTGCGTTGAACACCCAAGAGACAGACCCGAGACGAGACAAATAGAGAGACAGTGAAATAGCGGGGGAGTAGAGGGGGTTTCTGTACCTAGATGATCCCGATTATAGGCCTGGTCGACGACAACACTGATCTGCCTCCCCCAGAACTTCTTCAGCTCGAAAGGCACGCGCGCCAGGCCCTTTGGCGGGCCCAGGGACTGCCGAGAGCGGGCGCGCGAGCTGGCCCGGTGATGAGCAGACGTCGCATCGCTGTACTGTGATCGATAGCGCGCAAGCTCATGCGTTTCCATGGCGTATGAGCGCCTAGGGCTTATATCCTCCTCCTGCCCGCTCGGCCCCGCGGCCGCCATAGTGCCTGTGTATAGAGATATGCTCGGTGGATGTATGGATGGATGGATGCCTGTGCGTACATCGAAGCGGGATAAAAATAGGCGCGCAGCTGATTCCCGTGGGGCGTAAGTTAGGACCGAGGGCGGGGGGGTTATGCGACGTCCTGGGATATGATTTGCTTTGCTGTGGTTGGCGTGGAGAGCAGGATGGGGGTTTTGGATGTCAATTGCGCAATCCGCAACGTGGGTGACCAGGAAGTGGCCGAGAGATCCCCGGTCAAAGCAATCAATGACAGGCGGCCCTCGCGTGCTCTGTCGACATTTGCTTCGCTTTAATAGATGGAAAAATCTCGGTGGATCAAAGAAAAGTAGATTGGGATAATCAGTCACATGGAGACATGGAGGGGGAAAGATGAATTTGTGAGCCGGTGAATGTCGAAAGTGCTACGAGCACCCCTAGCTTCAAAGTTAAGAGCTAGCAAATAGTGATAGGTTGGGGTTGTTGGGGTTGACAGGTACGTACCTTTTTCTCCAGAGTTGGCCGTGGGAGTACTTTACTTTGGAGGTAGAGTCGCATCGGCGCGGGTGAGGGGATGAACTCCAACTTCCTTTATACTACCTAACCTCAACTTAAGTTACAAAAACAAGACAATGCAGATACTTCCCTCCACAATTTAGATTATTTTGGTCCTCGATATTAACAGGAACATCTCGGGGTTGTCCACCTGACGAAAACAGTCTAACAAATCCAACGATCCAACAAAGAGATGGGAATTTGGAACTGATATTGAAGGGAGGAGAATAAGGCAGGAAGCACGAGGCACGAAAACCGAGGATCACGGCAAACCTAAGGAGCTCCATCATTGGAAGAGGTGAATTGCATTATAACATGGAATGAGGAGATCCAGGGCAAGAATGCAGGACAGGAATGGACAGCAGCGCAGCGTTCATGCTGTATACTGCTTTCAATGCTTGCTATTCCCACCTGCAAGCATTCAAAGCAGGAAGCATTCGACCTTTCTTTATAGCTATTTGTGTTTCACGCTCTCAGGGGTCTTCTTCGCCTTCCATCACCTGAGACTCATGAGCCGTGGCCATTCCAGAACTGCTCTGCTGTGACTTCCATTCGCCCTGTGGCGCCATCCACCTCCATACCGACATATGCTGCATTCATCTATAGCGCCGATAGACGGCCTGCTGGACAAAGGAGATCAGCTCCCCAACAGCCAGGACCACGTCTTGTGATTCTCGGGAAGAGTACGGTGACAGGTCCATGGGTACTGCGTTGACACATTGCGCATATGTATGTCCTCGTCACAAAGAGCCTTCGGGTGCCCTACGTCTTTCATACGACGGGATGCCGGAAATGCAGACGCAGGCGCAGGCGCAGGGCAGTGCAGTGCAGCTTCTGTGGTATATCACCGCGAACGCGCAATGCCGTGTGCGGTATAATATCTCGTGTTATAGCTATCTGCTGGAACGAATACTGAAACTTCGGTCCTCGGCCCCATATACCTTACAGCACTGAGTTCTCGTGCCGGATAGTTACAGAGTACTACTCTATTAGCACCTTCGAGCATCTCACACCATGGGCTTCCCTCGTCGCGGAGATTTATAACATGTACCTTATCACTGGCGTGCACGGAGCGGTATCACGGACCGCTAGACCGATTGACCCACCTGGACAAAAGCACAGCAAACCAAGTCGAGGACGTCGAGCGAACGATCCGCTGGGTTTGCGTTGGCAATACATGTCGATCAATGTTGACTTGGACGACTCCATAACATCAATTGTTTCAGGAAGCTCTTTGAAGGAATACTCCAAGATATATGTCGGCGAGCCTAGAGTTCTACCCAATATGACCGTGCTCCGCCGGACTGCTGCCCGTGTACTCTATCATGAAGGACTAGGAATTCAGCCGTGATGGATGAATACGCTCCGCCACGCCACGCCTGTGCTTACTTACCTACAGTATGGGGTTGTTGAAGTTTAATTCTGTGGGTGTGTGTGCGTAGCCCTCATGTGCGCTGCTCGGATGCATCGTGTGCGTTCCACAGTGGCCCTAGCATCGATGCTACCCTCTCCAGCATGAACTCTCACATACAAATCACAGAGTAACATCCAGGGCTCACAGAGTTGACATGGGATGCACAGGGCCTTGGTAACGTGGACTCGGGAGCGATCTCGCCGGATGCTGATCTCTTAGTGAGGTACTGTACGATCGGCACAGACCTCCCACCAAAAACCCCCCATCCTATGCACAATCCTTCCAGGGACCAGAACCCCTCTAACGCACACTTTTTGCACCACCGCCGCGCGCTACACAGAAACTATCCTATGAGAGCGATAGGATATAAGTTTTGGAAGGGCCGGGACATGCATGTCGAGATCAGTCGCTCGGGGAGTGGCCGAGTATGACTATCCAACTCTCGCTCCAAAATCGATAAACCTGTGAGAACGGGTAACTTACTCGCACCTGTGCCCAGTTGCTGTATGCCGCTCTCAACACCCGATATTCAGCCGGTATAACTGGGCCCTACTTCCGCCAATCTCGCGGGTCTTCCGTGTTGTCCCCCATATTTATCGCCCACGATGAGAAATCTCAATCAAGTCCAAAACATCCTAGCTTGCCCCTCCCACCCCAACTTTCTCAAAACTCCCCACATTATTCGAACTTCATCGCTGAGGCGGTCCGCCTGCACCGATTCGGCTGATGCATGGGCTATAGCAAACCAGATTGAGCCAATTGATTGCAGGCAGGCGCCTTTGAATCGAGCCATGGCCTCCTCCTGCCACCCTGCACTTGCTGACCTCTCGCCAGCCTCACCGTCACTTAGCCGGCAGGTTGCACTTTGCATCACAGACCATGTTCAACCGTCAGATGCATGGGTATTGGTGGCCTCTATAGCGGCGGAAGGAAACCACTTAAACTCCGTTTAGAAACATTAGGTTTGAGATATATCAGCACCAGAGGCAGCTGATTAAAGCCTCTTTATACTTCTTAAGATCTGCTATATATGACAATCGGGGACCGCCTTGCCGTTTGTCTACCTTCAACGTCTCTCTGTGTCCATGGTGCCTTACTTCTGAATTCAACATATGCAAAGTCGTTTGTTTGTTAACAACTGCGCCTCCATCCCACGTAAAAATCCGGCTTCGTGGCTGTATTGATCGAAAAACCAGCCTCAGGAATAATGACGGAAATCGTGGATATCCCGGCGCCGGTCGTAGAGGTGACGACTGTAGAGGTGGCGGCCGAGCTGACCTCCGAATCCATTGCTACCACGGCCAGAGGCTCCGAAGTCCACTCGCCGTCGAGTCACAGAACGGCTAGTACGCCGGCATCCGAGTTGTCATCTATTGAGGCTCTGAAGGCATTCAAGACAACAAATCTCGGCGTGTCAAAAGAAAATGCTCGGGCCAAGGCTGCTACGTTATCACTGGTGGAACAGGTGAGTGGCGTTTCCATGAGTTGTTCTCTAAAGAGACTCATCAAAGCTAACCCCCTCAAAGGTCTCGTTATTGAGAGCCGCCGATCACTGGAGGACCGTTGCAATCCCAAACAAAGGCATTGCCAATATCAAGACTAGTGATGGACCAAACGGAGCCCGCGGGGCAGTCTTCAAGGCTGGCACAAGAGTGAGAATGGATTATTATATCTGGTCGAGAAGGATTTGGGCTGACTAATATATAGGCAGCACTGTTCCCCTGTGGTGTTTCTCTGGCAGCGACTTGGGATACAAAGCTACTCTATGAAGTTGGACAGCACCTTGGAGAGGAGACCAAGGCTCGCTCTGCACATGTCCTCCTGGCGCCAACAGTATGCCTGCATCGAGGCCCGCTCGGTGGCCGGAACTTTGAATCATTCTCAGAAGACCCTCTTTTGACGGGGAAACTCGCCGCGTCTTATATTAATGGGCTTCAGCAAAAGGGGATTGCTGCTACCATCAAGCGTATGCATATACTGTCGTCTATGAGGCATCACGTGGAATATATATACTGACTTAGCTGTAGATTTCGTCGCCAACGAGCAAGAGACTGAAAGACTGACGATGGACTCGGAGCTCTCGGAGAGAGCTCTCCGTGAACTTTACCTTCGTCCTTTCGAAATTGCTGTCAGGGAATCTAACCCCTGGGCTGTCATGTCCTCTTATAACCTCATCAACGGTGTCCATGCAGATATGAACACTCACACCCTGAAAGATATCCTCCGCGGAGAATGGAAATATGATGGGTAAGTCATACCCCATCATGATATAATACTCTACTTATGCATTACAGGTTGGTTATGTCAGATTGGACTGGAGTCAACTCTGTAGCAGAATCCATAGAGGCAGGCTGTGATTTGGAGATGCCTTACTCAGATAAATGGCGTGGAGAAAAGGCGGTTCAAGCTGTCAAGGATGGGAAGCTAAGCCAAGACGCCGTAGAGAAGGCTGCTGCCAACGTATTATACCTAATTGACCGTGTCCGAGGCCAAGACACGTCGCCTGAGGAGCCGGAAAGGGAAGAGGACACCCCTGAGACGAGAGAGCTAATCCGCAGGGCCGGTTCCCAGGGATTGACCTTGTTGAAGAATAGGGGCAACCTCCTTCCGCTCGACGCCGAGAAGACAAAGATTGCTGTCATCGGACCCAACGCCAACAGAGCCATTGCTGGCGGTGGTGGTAGCGCCAGTTTGAACCCTTACTATAACACCTTGCCTCTATGGAGCATTCAAAGAGAGTCGAGTAAGGACGTCACATATGCTTTGGGCTGCGATATCTACAAATGGATCCCCTTGGCGACACCGTTCTGCAAGGCCCTTACTGGCGAGGAAGGAGTTACCATTGAGTTCTACACCGGCGACAAGTTTGAGGGAGAGCCGACAGTGGTTCAAACAAGAACGAGCACAGATCTTATGCTGTGGGACTCTGCGCCTACGGAGGTCGGGAATGTCTGGTCTGCCTATGTCAGGGCAAAGCTTACGCCCAAGACTTCTGGAAAGCACAAGTTTAGCTTCTTTAGCGTTGGGCCCGGACGTCTGTACATCGATGGCAAGCTACTTGCGGACGTATGGGACTGGACCGAGCAGGGTGAGACTATGTTCGACGGCTCAGAGGATGTCGTGATTGAGATTGAACTCGAGGCCGGCCGCACATACGAGCTGATGTCGGAACTCACCAACGAGATCCGCCCCTTGTCGAAGCAGATTGCCATCGGCCGCACGCATGGCCCCGGAGGTGTTCGCATCGGATACAAGGAGGAGGACAAGGTGGACCATCTGCAGCAGGCCGTTGATGCCGCCACGGAGGCTGATGTCGCTATTGTGATTGTCGGTTTGGATGCAGAGTGGGAGTCTGAAGGATATGATCGTGCCAACATGGATCTACCCAAGGACGGCAGCCAGGATCGCTTGGTCGAGGCTGTCTTGAAGGCGAACCCGAACACTATCGTTGTGGTTCAGGCTGGCTCGCCGGTCACTATGCCTTGGGCTGACAAGGTCCCGAGTATCCTGCAGGCGTGGTACCAAGGCCAAGAAGCTGGAAATGCTCTGGCCGATGTTCTGTTTGGCCGTGTTAACCCCAGCGGCAAGCTTCCTGTAAGTCAACCCTTTCACTCCGTCTAGTATGGCAACCTAACTCGTGCAGACTACATTCCCCGTCCGTCTGCAAGATAACCCAACCTACCACTCGTGGCCAGGTGAGAACAAGAAGGTTATTTACGGAGAGGGCATCTTCATGGGATACCGCCACTACGAGCGCCTCGCCATCAAGCCCCTCTTCGCTTTCGGCCATGGCCTCTCCTACACCACCTTCACATACGGCGACATCACACTATCCAATACCACCCTGTCTGCCAACGAGAAGATCACCGTCACCATCCCGATCACCAACTCTGGCAAGGTCGACGGCGCGGAAGTGGTACAGGGCTACGTCCACGATGTTAAGTCGCGACTGGTGCGTCCGGAGAAGGAGCTGGCTGTATTCGACAAGGTCTTCCTGAAGGCAGGTGAGACGAAGGATGTCGTTCTCACGCTGGATAAGCTCTCGGTTGGATATTACGATACACGTCTCAAGGCCTGGATTGCTGAGGAGGGCGAGTTCAAGATTCTGGTTGGCTCATCATCCGCGGATATACGGTATGCTTACTTCCTTTTCCTCGTATCTCGATTGGATTGGTTACTAATTTTCCACACAGACAATCGGCTACATTCGACGTGGCTGAATCGTTTACTTGGATCTTCTAAGGGACCTATATTTCACATAGATTTTTTCTTTGAATACCAGCGCCTGGAGACGGCGCAATACCATTATCAGATGTGATGACCTCGTACTTTCCTTATGAACGCCAGACTTACACCTACTAAGAATGCGCATGGAGTTATTCATAAATGCAATATACGAACTACAAACGTGAATTATAGCCATATATCGGTGTGCAACTTATTGAGTGCTTGGCGTATTAATTACTGGCCATTAATGTCATTAATGTCTCCACATTAGGGGTTGTCTATTGAATTACTGCGATATAAATAAAATGCATAATAATCAATTAAACCTAAACGGGTCGACAGCCTTGTCGCGGACCTGTCCAGGCCCCCGAATCGAGAACACCAATATTCTGAACTTTGACACCACTATACTACGTACCCTCGTCCATTTTTCTTTCCTTCGTTCAATTCTCCTTCAACCATTTCCTGGATGTCTGTCTTTACTCTATAATATATCTATTCCTTCACGTAACCCGCTGGCCGAATTGAGCCGCGCAGACTGTACTGTACGTCACTGCCACCATCGTTGTCCTCTTCTCGACTCTCAACCAGCACACATACACCCACGACTACGAGGCTGGGTCCACAGGCATGGCGAGCAGATAGCGCCATGAGCAGCAACTACAACCACCTCCGGACGCGCTCCTCGCGCGACCACTTCATGGAGCCCCCGTCATTTGTATCGCGTGTCGTCAATGTGCTTCCGACTCGTCTCGCTCTCCTGGCACTCAGGACCCTGGACAAACCCCGCAAAGCCATAACACAACTTCCCACCACACTCCGGAATGCAAAGCGGGCCGCGCGGCGGCCGACGCTGCGCAGTTTTGTGAATGTGCCGAATGGGTTTATTGCGGTCTGGTTCCTGTTGTTGCTGTGGGGAGAGCGGTGGGCGTTTCATAGTGCGATTAAGCAGTGCAGATGGGAGAATTGGGAGAGATGGGCGAGTTCATTATTCTCCGCGGTATGGTTCTGGGACGAATGCTAACAGTTAGATAGCCGCAAGCTGCGACCCCTCATCATCTTGTCCTCCTCGCGGATCCTCAACTTGTCGACCCGCACACATATACTGGGCGGCCGTGGCCGCTGTCGACGTTTACGGAGCACCATACGGATAACTACCTGAGACGCTCGTATACGAATTTGCAACTCAAGTTGAAGCCAGATACTATATTCTTCCTCGGCGACCTCTTCGATGGGGGGAGGGAATGGGCGACGATGCGAGGGGACACAGAAGACCCAGAGTGGCAGACAAAACAGCGTGCAAAGGACGAAGCAGCATTAGTAGGATATTGGAAGAAGAACTACGGCGAGAACTTCTGGATGCAAGAATACGAGCGCTTTGGAAAGATCTTCTTCGACCTGTTCAACCTGGGGAACCCAACATCGCAGCCGAGCCGCGGACAGAGGGGCCGCAAGATCATCGCGAGTCTGCCAGGAAACCACGATCTAGGGTTCGGGGCGAAGATCAAGATGCCGGTGCGAGATCGATTTGAGGCGTTCTTCGGGGAGGCGAACCGCGTAGATATTATAGCCAACCACACCTTCGTCAGCATCGACAGCGTGAGCCTGAGCGCAGGGGCGGATAAGAGCGAGGTCGATAATCGGGACGTTTACGCACCGGTGGAGGAGTTCCTGGCTGGCGTGCAGGCACGCAAGCGCCGTGCCACGGCGCGGGAACTCCGGTATATACGAGGCGAACCAGAGGAGCTCCGTCACCCGAGGACGATCCAGGATACGGATGGTCTTGTGTTGAAGGAGAGTGATTTCCTGCCCCTCGATCCAGGAGAGGGGAACAGCAACGACTTCCCTACCATCCTGCTCACCCACGTCCCGCTGTACCGCGAGCCTGGTACACCCTGTGGCCCGCAGCGCGAACACTGGCCCCCTGCCACACCCCCTAAGGGGCAACTCGGCCCCGTCGTCCCTGACCACCGCAACGCGATCTCCGTGTCGCGCGGCTACCAGTACCAGAACGTGCTATCACAAACCGACTCAGCGCGTCTGCTGAAGACGATCGGGAACGTGCAGCACGTCTTCAGTGGCGATGACCACGATTACTGCGAGTTGGTGCACGATGAGATTAACTCGGGCGTGGGAATTATTGGCCGAGCGAGGGAAATCACGGTCAAGAGTATATCGTGGTGTATGGGCGTCCGCCAGCCCGGGTTCCTCATGGCTAGTCTCTGGAACCCAATTGGTCCCGATGGACGCCCCTTGGGCACCAAAGGAGGCGGCCACGGCGCGGTGAACGATGTTCCTGCACCGACGATCGAGACGCACCTCTGTCTGCTCCCGAACCAAATCTCGATCTTCATCCGATACATCTTCCTATCCATCATTACCATCTCCGCACTCCTCGCGCGCGCCGTCCTAACACAGACCATGGGCCTTCCGCCCACCTTACCCCCATCAGTATTTTCCTTCTCTACCCCGTCGAAGGGGGACAGCCCGCTACTTCCAACATCGAAGCGCGCGGCCGAGCTACACAGATCGTCAGACTCCTCCACGAGCAGCACGTCCAGCACACTCAGCGGCCATCTTGCGCCACGGAGTGCAGCAGCAAGGACGCGTAGTGTTAGTCCCGCAGTGGGCTATGGGCTTCCGGCGGCGCAGGCGCAGGGCCGGTATGCGCCGCCTGCCTGGGGAGAGGATGGAGATGAGAAGGAGAAGGGGAAGGGGTTTAGGGAGTTTGGGAGCGAGAGGGTGGTGAAGGAGGGGACGCCGCTGGGGAGGATAGGGAGGGAGTTTGCGGGGAGCTTTTGGAGGGTTTTGTGGGTGGCGGTGTCGTTGTTTGTGTGGTTGACTTGGAGCGGTTAGGGAGTGTATTTTTATATGAGGCTAATGAACATATATTTTTGGATACTTGGTGGCCTCTGTGAGTGTATACTGGCGAGAGTTCCTGGGGATGTGCCTTTGGATACTTGGTGTCTATTTTGGGTGTGTGCCAGTGGAGGTTTATGAGAATGTGCTTTCGAAGTGTGAGTGAGCGTGGAGAATTTACATAACAGTTGCTCAAATCTTAATACTCCAGTTGAGAGATTACAGGAAAGCTATCACCCACCCAGGGCACGTACGTACCTGACAACGGCTGGAGTCGGAGGGGAATCCCTGCTTGGATAAATAGGGAAATGAAGAGGGCATATGCAACGATGAACGGTAGAGGATTTTGTCATCAGGCGGCAGGACAAAATGTCAAAAGTCACAACCTCTAGGACCTTTCGACACGCCACTTTCTAGTCACTACGCCAGCCTTCTCAACGTCACGCCGTCTTCTCGTTGCCCACCCCTGCTTCTCGTCACCACCTGCTCTCTCATCGCTGGCTGCTGTCGTCGCAACAATATTATTGTTATTGCTGACGAAGCCCCTTTATCCTCGATGGCATGGTTCAGGGAAGCATTTGCTACTATATTGTTGTAAGGAGCACAGTGCTCCTTATAATCTTCGATATTCTCGGTATTGGGTTTTCGCGCCTGGGGAATCATCCGCCAAACGATACTAGTGTTATTTATGTTCACACATCAAGAGAAGACGAGGTGAACGAGTCTGTTGCATATAGCCAGATTTGACTGTATTATCACGCCCCTCCCTATGGACTAACTATCCCTTGTCCCCTCCCTATCAGGGGACAAAACACATCATATAATACCGCTGCTACCGTGGCCCATTCGTCCGATTCATATACCCGACCCGATAACAGCGCCGAACATGAATAATACGAGGAAGCTGAGCCAACCCGCCTCCCGGGGGTCCATAACCCCATCCCATCCCAAACACCCTTAAAACTCCCTCCCAAAACACCCGAAAATAAAGAATAATATATGACGATAAATAGACCGTTAGATGATGAGGTATAGCATATTGGCGCCGCGCTGAATAAAAACTGGACAGATAGATGTGTGGTGATAGTCGGAGTGATGGTGATGTGGTGATGACAAACGCCGCGGTAAATGTTGATGATAGAATGGATGGATAGAAGATCTGACATAGCCGTGGGGTATTAAGCGTTAAAAGCAATGAAAGCGTATAAACAACGCGCCGATGATCCCAGTTAGAACGTGAAATTCACATTCCCCAGCGACGCAATTATCTTATCCTCCTCCGTCTCGGCCCCCGAGCTGGTCGCCTGACTGCTCCCCGTAGGCGTCGGCGTGATGCCATGCCCGTTCTCTTGATCATGCGTATGCACACCCGCCAGCATCGTGGTCGAATCTTCAACCTGGCGCCGTCGCGCCTCCGTGCGATCCGCCAGACTCACGCCGCTAGCCTGCCCGACCTCGTTCTCCTGGATGTCCTGGAAGCTCCAGCTGGGTTGGAAGGAAGTGGAGTGCCAAGCGTGGTCGACGCGTTCGTAGAGCTCGTCGATCTGCTCGAGTGAGATCTTGGAGGTCTCGAAGACGAGGAACCAGACGAAGAAGAAGGCTGCGACGCAGAAGGTGCCCCAGACGAAGAAGACTTTGGCGCCGAGATCGGCGTAGCCGGGGCCGTTGTTAACTAGGTAGGGTGTTGCGTAGGCAATGGCCCAGTTGAAGAGCCAGTTGGTGGCAGTGGAGATTGACATGGACTTTGCGCGGACTTTGAGGGGGTAGATCTCTGAGGTAACAACCCAGACGACGGGGCCCCAGGACATGGCGAAGAAGGCGATATATACGCAAACGAAGGCGATCATTACTTTATTCCAGACTTGGCCGTCAGGCTGGGCGCCAAACGCGGTGCCGACTATGGCGACGATAAGCTGAGACGAAGCCATTCCGACAGCACCGACCAGGAGAAGGCGGCGTCGGCCCCAAGCCTCGACGAGGAACATGCCGGGGACGGTACAGGCGACGTTCACGACGTTCGTCACGAGGCCGTACGTGAATGGCGACTCGATCCCGGCATGTTTGAAAAATGTAGTACCGTAGTAGAACACAAAATTGCAGCCACTCAGCTGTTGGAGCATTTGTAGGCCACAGCCGGTCATGAGCCTGAATCCGAGGTGAGGCGCGCCGCGGAATACATCTCGATAGGTGGAGGGCCCAAGAGAGAGTTCATAGGCATGGTTAGCTTCAATCTCTGCTATTTCCTCGATTAAGGCTGGATGAGTAATATCAAGACGCCGGATTCGAGAGAGCGACGCTGCAGCTGCCGCGTGCATCTCCCGTTTGATAAGATATCGAGGGGTCTCAGGGAGAATAATCAGCCCGATAAAGAGGATACCGGCCCACACGAACTGTATGGCAACAGGTATCCGAAAGCAGTTGGCGGAATCTAGATTTGAGGTGAGGTAATTAACGACTGCGGCGATGAAGAGGCCGACTGTAATAGCGAGCTGGTAGCAACAAACCAAGGCTCCACGGATCCATTTTGGTGCCATCTCGGATTGATACAACGGGACAAGCACGGATATCGTTCCGACGCCCATGCCAGCAAAGAATCTAGGAAGTGTTAACTTTGATAAGGGAGGAGAGCTATATCCGGTGCATACCTTCCAGCGGCAAAGATGCGAATCGTGTTTGAGGCCGTCTGCATCGCGACACCAAATGTGAAGACCAGTACTGCCAACATGAGAGATTTCCGACGCCCTATCCTATCTCCAATCGGGGCGGCGAGTAGGGCCCCGAAGAACGTCCCCGCGCTGAGTATCGACACAATTTCGGACGACTGTGTCGGCGTTATAGAAAGATGGCCTTCGTCGTCCCTACTGCCTGTTGAGAAGTGGTCGAGCCACCATCGCATCGCAATGATGCCGCTGATCGTGCTACAAGTCCCAACGTCAGTCCATGTGCCATGTGCCAGTCTCGCGCACAGCTTACCCAGTATCGTATCCAAACAGAATGCCTCCAAACGCGACGAAGGCTCCAATCATGATCGCAGGTGCCGAGGAACCGGCTGCGCTCTCGGGCTTCCGCCATGCTGTCAAGTCGAACACCATTGTCGCGGCGATGCGCCGTCGGAACGGCTGGTCGTGTGTATCGCGCAAAGCGTAGCCAGTGTCAATTTTTCCCCTCCTCCAACCTATTGGCCGTTGCTGGAAGCAGTATCGATCGAAACAAGCGGCGTCGTCGAATTCGAGGGCATCAGATTCGACTTCGCGACGAAGGGTCTCATTGAGCTGAGTGTGGGAAGGCGAAGGGTTCTCTCTTCGCGCAGGGTGCTCGGGGTCGCTGTATTGTAGTCTCTGGTAGAGGGTCCGAAGATGGCGGACCGAGGCTTATAGTTGGGATTCCCAGAGATAATGTCGTAGGTGGGGATTGCCTGAATTGCTTCGAATGGGGCGACGAGAAGGTGGGTTGAAGTGGTTGAAGTACAACTGCGGGTCTATGGGAATACGGTCGAGACGCCTATTTGGCGGGGAAGGAAAGGAGGCGGGTTAGCGGATCGTAGGTGTCAGGAACATGCCAGACAGGGTCCAGATGGCCGTTAATTTAGTGGAATGTGGCGAGCGAACCGGCACACGGCAAAAAATGATAGGGCGTTATATTAGAGAACATCACAGTAGTACTGCAGTTCTACCACAATTACCATAATACCATCATCCCCATACTATTTCATACCATAACAACCCTTGAACTCGTCGTTAAAGACTCTCCTCTACACACCCTGCATCACTCACTAACTCTGTTTACTCTATGCTATGTGCGGTGATTTCATTTCCACCGTTTCACTGTACAGAAACTACTTAACTTATCCCGTGCGTGCCGGACGCCTTTGTGTTGCACATTCCATGGCAGAAAGTCTGAACACTATGGTTGGCTCCCTTGCCTTTCTCCTCACCACTTGGCGTTTCTGGGGTCTCTACCACTCTCCCATCCCCGTCCAAGTCTGACAAGTCTCTCCCAATCCCCAGGCACTCGTGTCACGTCGCGCGGAATGAAGTACTAACAGGTGATAGAGCAGCCTCGATTCACATTCAGGACTGGAGGCTCATCCTGATGATCAGTCACTTCTGACCCATCCTTTCTGCCAAAAACAACGGCCCCTAGTGTCGTGAATGCGGCAAGGAAGAAATGGGGATTTTCTGGGGCTACTGCCAGACCAGCGCGCGGCACAGTAGGGTTGCTTATTCCAAGGATGCAGCGGCACGGAACAGAGGCTGTCACCCCTACCTCCATTCCGGCGCATGTGCTACGCTACACTGAAATGCTCCGCACACACATGCGAATAATATGCCATGAAATGTTGGATCCTCATCTTCCTTGGCCCCTTTCCCATCACAAGCAAGCCTGTTGTGTCCGAGCCAACGTGGAGTATATCTCCTCTCTGCGCACTGTCATCCCCAGCATAACCATATTGCCAATATTGAGCTATCTCTGGAATCTCACCAACCTACGTCCCCAAACAGAGTCCCCTACCCACCAACATCCCCAGACTTGGTCAAGCCAAGCAAGTCATCCAATCCTGCCCATGCGAGCAAAATGATCGACCACCACTTCTTTCCGGCTCCACTTTCCTGCTTTTGGACCCTGATGAGCGACTTGACACACTCCAGTTCCTCAGATCACATGACTGATATCTCAATTCCTTTGTCTCTTCTTGTCTCTCATCCTATCTCTATGCTGGAGCAGCAAGGGATAATGGGTTATTATGCGCCGCTTATTATTATTGCAAAGCCGCGCTCGCAGGATATCTTTCTATGGTTTCCACAACGGTCACTTCGTGATCTCAAAAGCATATGGCCAAAGCCTGAGGCAAATGAGAATAGCTATTTTTATTCCGCATGGACAATCTCTCAGGTTCAATTGTTCGCTTCTTGCTCTGCCTGCCGGTTGCAAAGAGATTTCCTCTCTTTGTCCTTGGATATGTCTTTATTGTTCAACTGCCGCATGCGGCTACGCGTAGGAGATCTCATATTTTACTTGATGGCAGTCATGGCCATGCGTTACATTCGTTCTGCCATCTTCGTTTTGTTCATACATTTACAAAACTCGAATTTCAAACTTATTCTCCCTGACGACGGCCCTCGCCATGGCTTCTTACCAAGATATAAATAATTATATGGTCAACTCGCGTAACCAGAATGCAGTAAATCATGTACTTGCGTATATGGAACGTACGGCCCTTGAAAACGTCGACGCCTCAATTTTTGACAGATTGGCAAACCTTCCATGTGGACCCCCCTTTAGAGAGTCTGTTCTCGATCGAGCCTTGGGCTTCTTGCGTGTCCAGTATGATGAAGAGAGCGATTCCCCGTGGGCTGTCGCACTAAACCCCTGGGAATGCCGACTGCTAAATTATACAACTGGATCATCGTTTACCAAAGTCTTCTGCACCAAGCTCTACATCCCGTTCGATGGGTGTTATGACAATACTCGAAATGTTGGGCGACTAGACAACTTCCTTACCACCTTCAGCGGCCTCGCAGCTCGAGTGGCAAGCGGTCGGGCGGACAGGGGGGCGATTAACCCGTGGCATATCAAGGAACTGGTATTTTATCAGGATCCTCTATTCTCCAGTGCGGATGTTGGATCAGTTCGTGACCTTTCACGAGCTAAATCTATCCGGCACTTCCTGAAACGCCTCGACGAGGATCAGAAGGGGGGATTGTTGCCGACGGTGACTCCAAAAAGGGTCAAGGCCTATGCGAAGATTTGCACCGAAGGTCACCTGGAAGAAATGGATCTGCTCTTTAGATATGATCCCAACAAAGTCTGTTTGATGTGGCTCAGAATTATCGAATTGTTCAGATTTGTGCCAAACCTCGAGGTGTTCAAGTAGGTTAATAGCAAGTCGACAATGGTTTCCCGCATGCTGACAAGCTCACAGGTGGCAATCTAATGCCCGAATCGTGGAACCCTTCCTTAATGCCATTTCCCACTATTGCAAGAAGCTTAAGGTCCTGGACCTTGAACTCCACAATGGGTTTGATGACAACTCGTATATGCTTAATGCATGGAATAGGTTCTATACGAGCAAGACTACCGGCAGATTGTACCAATCACACCAGATATTAGAGGAGGAGCCGACGAAACACATATGTGAATATATCGCGAGAGATCCAAAGGATAGGGCGCCAGAAGAACTCCCTACGCAGTGTCACATCAATCTCAAACTTATTATCAAGATGGAGCGTGATGTACAATCTATCATTGAGACGGTCGGGAAATTTACCCGGCATGTCCAATCGTTGTACATCGACCGTTCCAAATCCCATGTGTTTCTGGACGACAACAGAAAGAGAGAGCATGGACGGCCGTATGAGAAATCCTGGTTCCACCTACCAGTCAGTTATCCATCATCCCCAGTTCATATCCACTTCTAACATGATGAGAATCTCAGTTTGGCGTTACAAGCCTGACCCTTATAGCCACTGACGCAACCATACACAACTGCGTCATGGGAGCCATAATACCAGCTTCGATTGAGAGTCTTGAAATCAAAGATTGCCAGTCCCTCGATGGCGTCTACCTCCCAATCCTTACCGGTCTAAACCGGCTTCGGAAATTTAAAATCTCCTTCCCGCCGCTCGACGAGGCCAAGGAGCGCGCCTACCGGTACTGGCGGCACTACGTGTTCCAGAAGCAGGTAGCTCTCGATTTCCTCCGCTGCGACACAATCGAGCTGGATGAACTGGACATCCGCGGCGATTTTGGGGAGCCCACATTGAACCCCGTTGAGTTCTCGGGCCTGTCAACTGACCTCTTCTTCGCTGTCGAGGCTCAGGCCGAATCTCTTGTGCGGCTTCGGGTCGTCAATAACAATATTGACTTCACGCTGGCGGAGATTGGGAGTATTTTAGTCCAGGCGAAGAACCTCACGCAACTGGGCCTCACCTGCCGCGCATTCGCATACCAAGACCGGCTTGGGCACTGGATCGAGCAGGGTCTAGGAGTGAGTTCTCCCACCACATTCTTCTCGTGACTATCTACTAACCACTTTATAGACCCAGAACAACTTCGAAGGCCTCCTCGCCCTCTTCGGACAGAACCGGAACTTTTTTTCCTTCACCATCTTGCGTACCCACTACAACATCCTCGACGAAGCCGTCTACGACCGCGACGGCGCCGACCGACTCATCACCCCCACACGCAGCCACCTCGACTACGAGGCCATCGTCAAGAAGATGTCCGAGCAAGGGCTGCCGGTCGAGCACTTCGCCATCTTCGCCGAGGGAAGGGAGAACGCGTATGGCATCTTTCAGACCGAGTGGGACGAGGACGTGTATACGCATCAGCTGAGGGATGTTTTGCTTCATGGGCAGGGGGTTGTGGAGGGGACGCTTGAGATGTATGACGAGTTTGAGGAGGTTAATGAGAAGTGGATTGAGAAGAGTGATGTGGATATGCCGAGGCCGGTGGAGGGGCCGCCGGATCGTAGTCAGATTTGAATGGGAGGAGCTTTGATTTGGGGGTGTTTGGTGGTTGTTATAGGGGTATTTATATGGAATCTGCTATGTATGCTATGTTAGATAACTTATTGATCTTTTCTAGTATTAGACACTGTATTGGCGTATAGAATTCCTGTGAACGCAACCCCCGTAGTGATAGAACCTGCATCTCATAGGGTAGCAATATTTTACCGTATCTCATGGGCTGTAATATTTCTACAGCGGCTTTCCCAGTTAATGCCGGTCTAAGCGTTAATTAAGCTTCCTGGCCATCCCAGAGTCTCAGGTAGCGCCTTTCAACCAGCCAGTCACTATAATATTGAATCGGGGTGAGGAGTCATATTCTCTTTGTTGCAGGCATGAATCCTTCGTACTTCTACCCGTCAAGATCACCATCATAAGATATTCAGCATACATCAAGCTTTGAAGTAGCGGAATGTTAAAAGAGAGATCAAGAGCTTTTATTTTGTTTGTAGATGCTGTAAATACTCGAAGTGAGACTATCTGTATAGTACATACCCACATATGTATGTACCTAAGTACCACGATCTGCGGGTGACGGACCGACGCCGACTCGACACGTGATTGGTTGACCCCTCAAAGTACCGGCGCTACCTGAACACAAGACGCCCTATCCTGATTGGCTGCATGCATGTCACCACATTCCGGGCGCTTACAGCTCTCCCCAAACCGCCAGAACTGTGAATACCCGTGCCAGCACACTTCGATCCTCGCCCTCCATTGGCCCTCTCCTCTTGCACCCTTCGTGAAAGATGGAAGCGCCTTCTCTGCGGCCTATAAGCCAGGCCAGTCGCCCCCATCTTCCTCTTTCTTCCATGTGTGCGCAATCGTTCATCATTCTTGTCGTCGATATCAACCATCGAGCTGCTGCCGTACATTCCCACAGCGGCGTCTGATGAGTCTTCATCAGCGAGGGGCATACTAAGGTCGCAAAAAGAATCACAACACTGCGTCCGTAGGCGCGACAGCCTGGATTCGCCGGTCGCTATCCTGATTCTCTTTCACGCTCGCTCTCGCTATAATGTTCATCTCGAAGAAATGGAGGTACTTTTGGGTTATGATAGGGCTCATGGTGGCTGAGTTGGCAGGGACAGTTGCTACCCTCACACTATTCGGTATCGCGAGTCCAGACGCCTATCGTACCCAGCTATGGAAGCTCGGCGGCGAGCTGGGCTTCAATTCGAGTCCGGAACAGATCTTGTACGCATACGCAAACTATCGGCCGATACCACCGACACCGCTGGTTTGGTCTGGTTTGTGAGTGTGGACTGCCTGCTGCATGTGAACCCAAATGCTGACTGCCTTCCCAGCATCACCAACTACAACATTGTCGTATCTGTTTTGTCGATGTTCATTTTGCTTGTCAAGGTCGTCCTATTTATCATGCACATGTGGGTCCCGATTGTCAGCGTAATAATCGACGCCATTGTCATTGCCCTCTGGAGCTTCAGCGCATATGGCCAGGCTGGTCCTGACCATTCCGACCCAGCGCACCCGAGCTCGGTTGCGTGGTATATCGCCAAAAGCTGCAGTGTCGCTGAGGCATCCGGAAACAAGCACAACTGCGAGATGGCAAAGGGAGCATTTGCGTCTACCATCTTCATGATGTATGTATTCCCCGCCTAGCCTGACGTTTTCCACAACTGACAATTCTTCAGTGGTATTTTCACATTTAACCTCGGACTGGGCATTTGGTCTTTGTTCCCAACAGAGGAGATGAAGGAGGCGAGGAAGGCTAAGAAGGCGAGGAAGGAGGAAGAGCAATCATCGCCGTATTCCGAGGATGCGGGAGAGAAGCTGTGGGAGTTAAGGAACATCCAACAACCTACACCGGCCTTTTCGCCTTATACCCCGCGGACGTTGGCGTTCAACACATTAGACCGCCAATTGCCGCTGCGGGAGAAGGAACAGTACGCGTAGATACTGTGAAACCCAGGATGACGATGACGATGGGTTGAAAGGGCCATTCCCGGGCCCTGAGTAACTATTACCTTTTTGTGGCTACTTACGTTATGAAGTGGCGGAAAGCGAGAAGAGTGGTGATCAAGGGACTTTACTTAATTCAAAACCTACTACGAATACACAAAGTGATAATAATAGGCTCCAGACCATACCAGCAGGGACAATGATGATGCGAGCAGCGTGTGATTCTGAAAGATCTTACGATTAGGGATATCCGCATTCCACGTATCCATCCCGCATTCCCATTTCCTTGTTTGCCAACTCCCTGTCCCCCATCACACCCGTCCCCCGTCCCCCCAAGTCCTCCAACAAACAAAAACAAATCTCTTGTTCCCATGCCCACCCCCCGTACTACCGCCCTCAAAAACTGTCCGTCGCCCTGCGCTTTGTCCGACTCCCAAAATCAAATCTCCCCGGAAAACTTGGAAAAGTATCTCACCCCTTACATATCTCCCCCAGCCCACCACCACTACGAAGAGAAACGGAAAGAAGGAAAAGGCATCATGAACTTCTTCACACTCTTCTACGCTCCTGCTGCTTTGGCTTCCACTGCAAATCGCTGTAGACATTGTAACGAGGTTCACAGTGCGCCGCAGACGCAGGGAGAGCAGCCGTTTTGGCAGAGTTACGAAGACATCTTCGATACGGAGACGTTTGCAGTTCCTGTGGTTCGAGGCTTTCGATACGTTCAGCAACCACTCCAACAACCAGTCTACCACACCCATCACCCAGTCCAACAACCCCTCCACCACCAACCCCCCCTCAACCATCAACCTCCCCCCCAGCAGCCCCCCCAACAACCCATCCACCCAACAATGCCCTCCTTCTCCTCACACCCCCACACAGCCCTCTACACCCTCCTCACCCTCCCCCCCACCGCCCCCGCCTCCTCAATAAAAACCTCCTACCACCGCCTCGCTCTCCTCACCCACCCGGACAAAAACCCCGACCCTAAGGCCGCGGAACGTTTCAAGGCGCTTAGTGCAGCGTATGCGATCCTTTCAGACCCATACAGGAGGGCGATTTATGATTTGTATGGAGAGGTGGCGGCGGGGAGGGGGGAGGTTGTTGATGATGGGGAGAAGGAAGAAGAAGAGGAGGAGGAGGAGGATGCTGCGGCTTCTGAGGCTGATGATGTTGGTGATGCTGGGGAGAAAGACGGGGATGGGGATTTGCCCAGTGGTGAAGGGGGAAGGACTACCGTCGACAACCCCCATCATACCCCATCCCAGGCTCGCGCACTCTTCGAAGAGCCAGAGCAGAAGTCATACGAGGAGCGCTTTTTCGAAGCTCTACGAGCGGTCCGTCAGCGCGAGGCACAGGAGGAAGCAAGACGTGTTGCGGGACGGAGGTTATACGATCGCTTCTGGCGAGGCGTGCGAGGCCGCGGTGTGTGGAATTGGCCGACAAGACCCGTGGAACCGATGGATGATATATGGAGGGCGACGGATCCGATGAGTGGGTGGAGGCCAGCGGGTGCCGTGGGGGGGCCGATGGAGGGGTATCGTGGGGGGTTGTGGGGGTATGGTGCTGGGATTGTGGGGGGCGATGAGGGGCTGAGGGAGAGGTTTCGACGATCGCGTACGGGGGCGGAGGGGAGTCCGTATTGGGGGTGGGAAAGGGGGGAGGGTGGTGGGAGGGTTAGGAGTTGGAGTGAGGGGAGAGGTGGGGGGGTTGAGCGGGTTGTGAGGGGGGGGTATGGAGGGTGGTATGGGAGGTATTGAGTGGGCGGGGTGTTTTGAAAAAATGTATGATCTTGGGGTTTGGGAGATGGGGAATAGATAAAAGACCGGCGGAGGTGGGTTTGCTAGAATAGGGGACTTTTTTTTTGGCGCGAGCGTGGGGCAATTTGGTTATTATTTAGAAGAGCACGTGTATCATGAAACTAGGATATCAGTCGGAATTTTTAATACATAGAAAATGTCCTCTGACGTCTCAAATATGAAGAAGTATATCCCACATGCCTGACCCAAAACCCAACCCGAACCCCCATAACGCCGCCCAGCTCCATTTATGGAGCCAGTCCCATCCCATCTTATGCCCTTCATACACTCGGCTTCCCAATTATATCACACCTCACCTCACCCTATCCCCTCCCTACGAGTAAAACTGACTCTTCTGGAACCCCTCAATCCCCTCACCCCCAGCCATACCACTCATCCCATTCCCCACACTACTCATCGTGCTCGTCCTCGACTCCGCTCCCTTCCCTGCCACCACAGCTCCCGCACCCGCCTTCCTCGCCTCCCCAAGGTACACACCCGGCAAGTACCCCACGCGCCCATCACGCGCACGACACCTCCACCACTCACTCGGCTGACCCAACGGATCACTCTTACTCAGCACAGCGACCAAATCGCCCTTCGAAACCGCCAAATCCACACCCTGCACCGCCGCGCCCGACTCAGGCTTAAAGTCATACAGCACACGGCAGTAATCCAACTGCGCGGGATCAAGCTGCGGAACCGGCAGCGGCTGGCCGTCGGGTCCGAATTGGACGCCTTGGGCTTGGAGGCGAGCGCGCTCGGCGGCCTCGTTGGAGGCGGCGAGGGAGCGGATCAGTTTCCCCATTAGGTAGGGGAGGCCGAAGGCGGCGAGGAGGAAGACGAGGAAGGGCTTCTTGGAGAGCTTGGGGGGTTGGGAGGGGTGGCCGTCGGGGAGGGAGCGGCCTTCGAAGGAGGCGAATGCCGCGGGGGTGAGGGCTGTGGCGTCGGCGGGCGGGGGACGGCCGGTTACTTTGGCGATGAGGGTGCGGAACCAGCGGAGGATGGTGAAGATCCCGAGGATGGAGCCGAGGGTGTTGCGGAGGTTGCCGAATTGTTCGGCGACGGAGACCATGGCTGGGGGTGGTTAGAATGCGGGTTGTGGATGGAGGGTGAGGGGGGACTTACCAAAGAAGGAGGAGTGAGTTGCCATGTAGGTGCTCTCGAGCATCTGTGCGAAGCCGCCAAAGGCACCGACTATGCTCTCGATGATCTGGAATGTAGCCTGTGTGCTCTGGCTGAAGCTGTGAGTGAGGCTATTCGGGTCGTTGGGGTCCATTCCCATCCCTCCCATGCCACCCATACCGTAGCCGCCCATTCCTCCCATCCCGCCGTAGCCGCCCATTCCACCCATTCCGTATCCGCCCATACCACCACCGTACATTGAGGAGCCGTAGCCTCCCATGCCGCCCATTCCGCCCATACGGGAGTAGGGTGAGGAGTAAGATGACATGCCGCCCATGCCACCCATTCCGCCCATGGTGCTGCCGTATGGCGAGGCGCCGAGGCGGTTCTGTCCGTATGGAGAGTATGCCGATGCGTTCTGGTTAACCGTCGATGCGAGCGTCGACGGCCTTTGTGGGATTGCCGGTGCGGATGTGGTTAGTGCTGTTGATGTTGCCACTGCCGGTAATGACGGTGCAGACGACTGTGGCATCACTGAATGACAGTGTTAGCGGAGTCTCTTCAGGTGGCATAGCAGCCAAAGATTAAAGTGTCGGTCTTAAAACTTACCAGAAGTGGCCGCTCCAGCGCCCGCTCGCTCCCACGGCTTCGGTGGGCTTGCGCTTGCCATTGCCTCGCTTTCGTTTGATGCCGCGGCTTACGCCTTGATCGCGCTTATAGCTGCTTTGCGTGTATACCCGTTAGATCTACGGCTCAGTGTCGTCGAGCAGTAATCTATGGTGTATATCGCGATGTCGTGATGTGGCAAGCCGGATGATTCAAATAATATTCTGCTGACGTTCGGTGATGGCCGTGTTTTGCGGGGAAGATGCCTAGTGTACCAAGTATTCAGATGCGCCGGTCTTCGGTCTCCTTCGTTTACTTGCAAGACGCTCGCTGTGTGAGTATCTGTCGCTTCAACGTCGCTGTCGTAATCGCCGCTGCTGCTGGAGTAGTTAATACAAGAGAAATGAAGTTCGGAGGCGTGGATGAAGACGAGATCACCGGCGTAATGATGAAAAGATCCAAGTTCCTCGGGATTCGCCCGCGGTAGAACGTGTTTGGGGTCTTAGTCATCTCCCATGTGGTTAGCCTGGCAAACAGGCCGAGGTCTGTTTGCAATTGTGGGGGATCCCCAACCAAAAGTTGGAGATCCACGTGACTAGTGAATCCACCGAGCCGAAGTATAAAAGCGTAAAGGGGCTGATCTACTACACGTGACAGCACAAGCTGTCTGTGGTTCATTATCACATTTATCATGGCTTGAATGAAGAAAAAAAGGTACAGTAGCCTTGCAGAAAGCTTTAATCCACAGCTTTTGGTGGTTGAAATAGTCAGATGTGTAAATCACCGGGATTATGGGCTGGTCTGAAGGCTTCAAAACCGGCGGTTCAGGTGTTTTTTGTTCATTTACAGTTCAATGTTGGTGGCAGCTCACTAACAAGACTGTAGTGCTATCGGCATTCCCGCTGAAACCGATCCGATGCCGTGTCCGATGGGATGCTGTTATGGTGTGTAAGATTATCAATGTTCCTCCGGGCCTGGACTCAGCCGATGACAAATCTCCACATATGGATGTGATACAGGTAACGTGTTGAATCCTACATCCCCAGTAGAGGTATTAAGATATAACTTCGTAAGTTTCCTGTATTACAGACTGCATTTTATACTGCTGTCTTCAGTAAGTAGAGTAACTATACATTATCTACCCCAAACAAACCTTACACCCATTCATTATATAACAACCGCCCAAATGGCACCAATCAAGTTGTGGTACTCGTCCGGAGCATGCTCGCTGGCACCTCACATTCTCCTGAACGAGGCAGGCATTGAATTCGAGTCAGTGAAACTAGACGTCCATGCTGGATACCCCGAAGAATTCCGCCACATCAATCCCAAGATGAAAGTCCCGGTCCTATTGATTGATGGCCAAACCATCACAGAGAATCCTGCCATCATGACGGCAATATCGCAGCTCGTCCCAGACAAGCACCTCCTAGGCAAAACCAATCTGGAGATTGTCCGGGCGTACGAATGGATGAACTGGATCTCGGGCGTAGTTCATGGTCAAGCTTTCGGTGGTCTCTTCAGACCTCATCGATATTCGGACGATACCACGACTTATCCGTCTATCAAAGCCAGGGCGATCCTGACTGTTCAGGAGTGTTTTGCTACTATCGACCAAGATTTGTCCAGTGAGCATGCTGTTGGCTCGGATTTTACGGCTGTGGATGCGTACTTGTACGTCTTTCATCGCTGGGGGTCGTCGTTGGGGATTGATATGAAGGGGAAGTATCCTAAATATACTGGCTTGGTTGTCAATTTGGCAAAGCGCGAGTCGGTGCAGGCTGCACTGAAGGCCGAAGGAATAGAATCTCATGTCCCTCTGGCATGAGTAGCAGATGATATTACCTCTAGCATGAGCGGAGATGATATCTCTATAGATTGGTGTCCATTATAATGCACATCAATTCCATTACTAAGCAAATGAAACAACACAACTATCACTAAAGTCCATCGCCCAATGTCCGTCCACGGTACGATATTAAAAATACGGCGACTTCGTGATGCTGTAAAGCGAATTATAGTAGGGACATCTCGCATCGACATGTGGCTCATCAATGAGCGTAAAGCCGGTTCCCCCATCACATCCAAAGCAAGCAAGACCAGCACCATTCTCATCAACCCTATCCCATCCTGGGCCCTCTCCCCAGGGATCCTTAACGAAGCCCGCCCAGGCCTTCTGTATCGTCTTACTCAGCCCCACTTCAACAAGAGTGGCATTTTCTTTTGGGTAAGTTCCCCAGATAAGCCCGAGATCTGCGGTGTGGAACGAACCAAACTTAGGATAGGTATTGGGGTCATCATTCAGATAGATGTTTGGGAAGGAAATATTATGGTAGTATCTCCAGGCTGGGAGGCCGCTCTGGGCTGTGGCTTGAGCGACGAGCTTAGCTGGCTATAAGTGACTCAATTAGCTGGTGCTTCAAAGCGCTGGAACTGATATACTTACACACTGATACACAAGCTCGGTGTATGATTGCGCTGCGGCATAGAACAGAGAAAGACCATCTGTATCCATAATAGAATGCACAAGAGAGCTGAACAAGCCGTTCAATGCTGGGTCCCCTCCAGTCATTGTGCTCAGAAGATACATCATCTGCTCCTCCGTGAAGTTTGGAATATCCAGATTGTAAGTACGGGCGAGCGTCGTCCCCTCCTGAGCCGAAGTTCCAATATACACCGGAACCTGCGCGGCATTTCCAGCCGCCCGGTTGGCAAGATATGGCAGCTCAACCTGCGTCACTCCGTCGGTAACAGCAGTCTAGTCGAGATCACCACTGGTCACTATATTGCGAATAGCCAGGGCGTCAACACGCTGCATGCAAGCTAGCTCCACTTTCGATGAGGTGCCATTGCAGCCCAGAACTGAGACCAACGCTGCCCATGATGCTGGGCCGGAGTCTCGTGGAATGCCGCTGACTGTGGCTTGACCACTTGACGCTGACGCTGCTCGAAATGGTGCGATGAGGGGAGGACCAAAGGTGTCGACCAGCCGATCGACTGAGGATGCACCGGACGATTCGCCTCCGATGGTCACTTTCTTTGGATCGCCGTTAAATGCGTGGATGTTCTTCTGCACCCATTGAAGAGCCAGTCGCTGATCGAGGAAGCCGGGGTTGGACTCGGTGAGAGGAAGGGCTGGAGAGCTTGGGAAGCCGAATACTGCAGGGGTCGAGTTAAAATGCAAGTCTGCAGAATTGATATGAGGGTTGATATACCGTTTACTCGATAATTAATAGTCACAACTACAATATTTTGGTTAGTAGCAAAGCTAGTGCCATCAAACATTGCTCTTCCAGAGTTCCCGTCTTGCAGGTTGCCTCCATAAATCCAGAACAACACAGGTAGCTTTTTTCCAGAGCACTCAGCAGGCGTGTAGACGTTTAGAAAGAGACAGTCTTCGCTCTCATCGGAAACAACGGTCTCCGCTGCGGTAGGTTAGCTTATCTATCACTGGACGGCAGAATGCTTAGGACAGACCTTCATTTCGCTGATGGCAATGTTTCCCCCATTGATTTGCATTGAAGGTGTGCTTTGCAAAGCGTTTGAGGGGTTTGGGAGGCAGAAATCGCCTTGAACCCACAGGGGGTTCAGCGTAAGGGATTCCGAGGAACTTGTTGACGGTTACCGTCGAGGACGGTAGAGAGGTAGTCACGCCGACAACAGTTCCAGCATCGACAACAGCGGTTGGCTGACGCGGATGACTTGCTGCTGCCAGGCCAAGCAGGAACGAGGCAAGGTAAATCGCAGATCTCATCTTGAAGTTTAGCTTGGTCTTCAGATGAATTAAAACCCGTGGGAATTAGCCTTCCAAGTTCTTACAGGATTAGCAATTTCTCATTCCAAACGCATCTATTTATACCCAGTGAAGCTTTCTAGCTATCCCCGCATCATTTTCTAATTATCGATTATTCTTTAGCCGTGAATCCTTCACAATATATAAAGTACTGACGCAAGTAAGACGGAACGGAGAAATGAAATAATATGCGGGAGATGCAGGGTCGTGGCGGGAGGATGCTCCGCATCTCCGAATAACTTCGTGAATTACTGAGATATCTCTAGCCCCCACAGCGACAACGGCTGGTCTAATATCAGACATCCTAGCAAAGCCATATGGCAGCTGCTTGGCAGGGGCCAAAATGCGGGATGGGGCTGAAAGTCGTGGCAGAGAGGGAGGGGAAGGAGGTTCGAGAAGCAATCTGTTTACCACACCCTGCTTAGCATGTATGTTATACAGTACAAATTTATATGACAGCCGCAATTGTTGCTGGCACCAGCGCCTAAAAAATAGTATTCTCACATTGAGAGTCTGACAATAGTTAAGCGCCCTGCGCTATGTCGCCAAACAGTTAGTTAGATAGAGCGCGGCTCTGAATACGAACCTCCACGCATTTATAAGCCCTCCGCCAAATCCGACTCGCGACCTCATATTACCCAAAGCGCCTTTATGAGGCTTTACCCAAAAATCGCCCACCTAAACGCCCACGTAGTTAGGCTTCAGTCTTCCGTATCAAATGGATCAAATAGAAACCCCCCGCCTGTTGCTCACGCAGCTCACAGAGGATAACCTAGACGACTTCCACGCCATCTGGTCGAGTCCAGAGGCCACCCGATGGAGGTGCGTATGCATGGGATAAGACAGGTGCCACTCAAACACACCGTAGCTGATCCCTCCCAGCTCCCGCGGATGCCTCAAAACAATTGAAGAAAGCAAAGAGCAGATGAAAGGCCTCCTAGTCTCCAACAACCCCCACGGCTTAAACTACGCCGTCTTCCTCCGCCCTACCTCCACCGCCCCCAGCCCAACCACCCGCATGATCGGCATCGTAGGCGTCTTCCGCCTCACCCCCATTGTCGAGCTAGGGTACACCTTCCACCCGTCATTCTGGGGCAAGGGCTACGCTACAGAGTCTGTGGGGGCTTTTGTAAGTCGCTTTTGGGAACTGCGCCCGACGATCCGGATTATGACCGCGAAGACGGATACGGAGAATTGGGAGAGTAGGAGGGTGCTGGGGAAGTGCGGGTTTAAGGAAGTAGGGCAAGAGGAGGGGATCGTGTTGCCGGCGCTTGGGGTGGGGAGGAGGGAGGCGGTGGTTTTTGAGGTGTGTGCTCCTCGGGCAGAGGCTACGCTACAGAATCCGTAGATGCGTTGCGTTCATAAAGCGGTTTTGGGAATTGCGGCCTACGATAAGGATGATGACGGCGAAGATGGATACGGAGAATTGGGGGGGGGGGGGGGGGAGGGCGTTGGGGAAGTGTGGGTTTAGGGAGGGGAAGAGGAACTCGGTGGGTTTTGAGGTGTGTGTTCCAGAAGCTTAAGCTTACATTTAAAAATGGGAATTTGAGGCCGGTTCCTTCGTATGCGATTTGCAAATATACTACAGCGAAGCTTTGGCCCGTACCCCGCAAAGTCGTTCTCAGCGGTGTAAGAAAGTGGATTCGGCCGTGCGGAGCTCATTTATAGCCTTAACTGTCTGTCTGCACCTTAAACGGCTCGGGATATCAACAACCGACGTAACCATTCGCGATAATGATCATCCAGCAAACCCATGGTGGTTTGATGGAGCTATTCGTGGAGTTATTCCCACTGGTCGAATTCTTAATTTCCCCATAAACTTTTACCCCGCGAAAATTAAACTTACTTTCCCCGTAAAGTATATCCCCGCTATGGGGGAAGGGGGAACGTAAATATGAAAGATCGTTAAATCTATCAAGGCATCCCCAAAGCTTGGGATTTTTGGTTAATTCTCAGACTGTATTTCCCGGTTCTAGGGATTTATTCGATTGGAAGAAAGAAGTCATGGCACGCCTTACCCCCCTCGCGATTTTCTCCGCCCTCTCATTTCTCATCCCCTGGACCCAAGCAATCCAACTCACAGCCTCCCTAGAATACGGCACATTCCAAGGCTCCTACTCACCAGAGTACAACATAAGTTACTATCGAAAAATCCCCTACGCCGCCCCCCCCGTCGGCGAAAACAGGTTCAGAGCACCGCAACCCCCGATCCCAATTACCAATGGCATATACGACTCCGATCAGAGCTTTGACATGTGTCCGCAGCGGACTGTGAGCCCCCCCCCCCCAACTCTGTGTCATCTACCTCAACTAATGAAACCCGCAGGTCAACGGCTCAGAAGACTGCCTCTACCTAGGCCTCTACTCCCGCCCCTGGACGCCCTCGCAACCCCTCCGCCCCGTAGTAGTCGTCTACTACGGCGGGGCCTTCATCCAAGGCAGCGCCTCCTTTACCATTCCCCCCTCTGCCTACCCCGTCCTCAACGTGTCAGAATCCAATAATATCATCTTCGTCTACCCCAATTACCGGGTCAACACATTTGGCTTCCTCCCCGGCCGCGAGATCGCCGCCTCAAAGACTTCGGATCTCAACCCCGGCCTCCTGGACCAGCAAGCAGCGCTGATTTGGACTCATAAGTATATTAAGCAATTTGGCGGGGATCCGAAGAATGTCAGTATTTGGGGACAGTCAGCTGGAGGTGGAAGCGTGGTGGCGCAGGTTATTGCGAATGGAGGCAAAACCCACCCCCCTCTCTTCACCAAAGCCCTGGCATCCTCGCCGTTCTGGCCAAAGGCGTATAAATACAACGAACCAGAAGCGCAGGCTCTTTACGATACGATGGCGAAACTCACCGGGTGCGAGGGGAAGAACTCCTTAGCTTGTCTTAAAGCCGTTGATGTCCAGACCCTCCGAGATGCATCGTTGATCGTCTCGAGCAGCCACCAGTATAACACCAGTTCCAACACTTGGGCCCCCGTCATCGACGGAAAATTCCTAACTCAGTCGCTAACCGACGCTACGAGGAAGGGGGAGGTGAATATCGATTTTGGGTTCTCGATGTACAACTCTCATGAGGGGGAGAACTTCATCCCCCCCGGACTCAAAAGCACAGCCAACGCCGGCACACCCCCCTTCAACTCGTCAACCGCCTCCTTCGATGTCTGGCTCGGCGGTTTCCTGCCTAGGTTTTCAAAACATGGTATTCAGCGCGTTAAAACCTTGTACCCGGAAGTTGGATCCACAGAGACGATTTCGAGTTACAACACCACCTACGAGAGGGCGCAGCTCATCTACCGCGACGTCGTTCTCGCCTGTCCCGCCTACTGGACGGCTGGTGCAGCGCATAAGAAGAGTTATGTGGGGGAGTATACGATTTCCCCCGCCAAGCACGCAAGTGATACCATCTACGTGCGTAACACCCCCCCTTTTCCCCCATTTCCCACCGTCTCCCTGATTCTTGTTGTGCTACCACTTCGGGAAAACCTATTGACGAAGAGCAGTGGAACCAAGTAAACGCGATCCAAAAATCCGATCCGCTGATCTACGAAGGCTACGCCGGAGCTTTCGCCAGTTTCTTCCAGACGGGGGATCCGAACGCGCATAAACTCACCAATGCGAGCCAGCCAGGCGTCCCAGAGTATAGGTCGACGGGGAAGGAGTTTGTGGTTGCCGAGGGGGGGTTTCAGAATGTGAAGATACGGGCGCTGAGGGAACGATGCGAGTTCTGGAGGGATTCGGCGAAGGATGTGCCGTTTTGAGATGCTAGGGGGTCCCTCGTGAGCAGAGATGAAGCTGGAATAACGTAAACGAATTAGCCTTAAGTAAATATCGAGGAGTGGGTAAACATATACGTCGTTGCATCTATCATAATCTCATCTATCATCATCTATCCCCCCCCCTCCCCCCCCCCCCCCCCCCCCCCTTAACCCGTAGCGCCATGCGGTAAATATACCTATCATCACACCCCTCCGTTTTT